CATTCTACTTGTTCGTATTTATATCCAGTGAAGATAGAATAGAAGTTTGGAGATGGTGTATAGAACTTTATACCACGAACTGAAAAATCTTCTAACTTTGACAAAAGATATCCCAAGCATCTAACATCTTCATGCCAACTTGTACGACTTTTATTTTCTTAAGTTTCTGTCTACATTCTTGTTCTGAAACTATTTGTTGCTCTTGGTTTTGTTAAAGACAACATCCCATTCTTTCATGACATAACATTCTGGGGCAGAGTCAACATAAATGACTAAACGTTTCAAATTCTCGACTGCTTTGTTATAGTCTCGAAATGGACACATATTTCTGAATGCTTGGAAGTCATAAAAATCTGAAACATCTATTCTGTACATTTTTATAAAAATAAAAAAAATATTTTTTTTATTCTTGACTTTGTTGTGCATTTGTTTTCTTGGCTATTTGTTGTTGAAGTTGTTCTTGTAATACAATACTTTCACCGGTTGCATCTTCCAATTCGAAACTTTCTGCCGTCATGACAAATACATAGGACATAAAAGTTTTACAGGAACAAAGTTTGCGTCAACTAAGTTAAGTTTATGTTTGCTAAAGTGTTTGAGTTTACTAAAGCTGAAAACTCTGCATTCGAATGAACAATAGGCAAACCAGCAGAGAAAGTGTTGTTTATACGCATGAGTATCTTTTGGTCATAGTAGTTTTGTCAACATTCGAATAGCACTTTGAACCTAAGTTTGAAACAATATATAAAATAGGTGTACTTAAAGTCAATGGAACAGACATTCCTTGTATGACACCTTTTCCTGTTATAGGAAACTGTTGGTAGTAAAAACCAGAAATAAGTTTTGTATTATAGCTCATATCGTTTATAGTAAACTCAGTCGGACATCCAAACATAATGAAACCTGCTCTAGTTGCAGCACATGTTACATCCGTCCTTAAAGTATTAAATAAGTCAACAAAACCTGTTGGTGGTATATCTGAGTAAGTATCTTCAAAGAAGTATTTTTTTACCATTCACAACAACAAAGTCTTCTGGTGTCAAAAGAGCAAAACAGGCTTTAGTCGTCATTGTGTTTAAGGTTAGTTTACAATACCGTCCTTGAGGACTTTGTAAGTTTGTTGTTATAGAATTATATGACTCAGGGTTTTTAGTCGTAATAGTATAAACCACTATGTCTTCTGCCATTTACTTAGCAAATAAATTTTTAATGAAATGTTGTGGTCGTCAAATATTTTTATGACGTCTGGGAAACTATATTTTAAGTTCAACGTTTCACCTCCTTTCATAACGTATATCTTGTCAATGACATTGTATGAAACACCACAGCAAGCAATGTCGGGTTCTATTTCTTTGATGTTTATATCGTCTGCCTCTGTCAAAAGTTTCAATAGTTCTTTCAAAATTCATGAGGTGCGATGACATATGAGTTCACTTTTACAGGGTTGTGTTCGACCAAGTTTTAACATTATACCAAAGCTTGACAAATCTTCTCCTGAGTTTAAGTTTGTCTTTAAGTTGTTGGTAGTCATTTCGAATATCTGCAACAGAACTTAAGTCTCTGCTAACTTCAGGATATGTTGGTTCTTTTACAGGAACTATTGTTATACCATCTTCGTCTTCGTATGGTTTCCCCACTTCAACATCTCTTTCTTTGACATTGACAACAACACTTTGACTGTTTGTTTGAGTTGGTGAATTTAACTTCACATCTGCCACCGCCATTAAACCTTTTGAAACACTCACGCTTCTATTTTTCGGAAATGACATTTTACTTAGAATAAAAAGATGGACGTATTCGAGTATCTCTTCGAATTGAAGCAGAACAAAGTTTACACACACAAACAATACAAATACATTGACAGAATAGTTCTTTATACAAACAATGGAAAATGTTATTAGAATAGCAGTCTTTGCTGAACCAAAATATTTTCATAAAGCAAAGAAAGTTGGTATAACTGAAATGGTGAAAGTTCTTGAAGCAGACAAAATATAACAACAAAACTTACAGATATTTCTAAAGGTAAGTTTATAATACAATTTATGTCAAAACTGGCGTACTGTCAATATTTGACGGAGAGAAGTCAGTTCAAGAACAACTTACTGACCTGCTGCCAAAATCTGCTCGATGGAAGCTGTCGTTATGCCAATCTGAGGAGCCCCAGCAGGTTTCATCGAACGAATCTTCAAAAAGAGCATCTTCCGTGAAAAGTGCTATTGGTTTTGTAAACTTCTTTGCTTTCAATTCATCTGGACCGTCTCTGTCACCAGTATATTGTATTTGTACAGTACCAACAGTTGAAATACCACCCATAAAGTCTTCTGAGTCAGCAAATGGAATGCCAAGCCAAAAGTTTGAACGGTCTCCATTTGTATATTGAGTTTTTTGAGCTCCTGTATGAGTCCATACTTTCACATATGGCATAATAGAACTTTGCATTTCAGGGTTAATGGTTGTTGTGAAGTTGTTGTTAAAGTTCATAGCATCTAATGTCAAGTTGTATGACCTCATATCCTCAACTGTAGAATATTCTTCTCTTGGATAGTATTTGCCATCTATGTTTATATGATATTTAATACCAGGGTTGTAGAAACAAGAAGTCATTTATAGTTCGTCTGAACAGTACAAACATAGTATCTGCATGTTTCATTGCAGTTGTTAAGGCAATATCTGTTCTTGCACCTGGGTCAGCACTTTGGTTTCCAACTTCACCTGCAAAGTCTTTGACAGATATTTGGTGTATAGGGAACATAAGTGGAACTGCAATATATTTGGCAGCTAAAGCATTTGAAATATCTGGGTCCAACATATAGACTGCAAGTCTGCTTTCTATTCTCTTGCATTCAAACTTTTCGCATGTGAACTTAACTGGGTCCCAAGCAGTTTCCAGCAGCATTGAAATAGTATAGTTTACTCAGTGTTGAGGTTTGAGAAACCAAAGTCTAAGTCAACTTTGTCTTTGCAAAAGTCACAGAACTTGTCCCACTACTTCGTAAGAGTGAATGGGTCTTGTGTTGGTGCAATGACTAAGTTATTTTTGCTTGGAGTAAGTTCGATAGAAATTTTTCCTGCCCAGTTTGGCAAGTATCTTAAAAACCTGAAGATGAGGAAAGATGACAAAGGAACTCTAAGTTTCAGTTTTACTTTAGTGGCAGCAGTTCCATCTGAACCAGAAAGGTTAACATAAACTCCTGGAACGTTAGGGTCAAGTCTTCTTATTTTCTCAATAGTTGCATACTGGTCTGTTTGTTCTCTAGCTTGTGGTTGTACTGAGTTTCTCAAAGCGAACCATTCATAGTTTGCCCATGTTACTGTTTGAACTAAGTCAGAGTTAGAATATATCTTATATCCCATGAAAACTTCTGGAGCATATTGGTATCCGACATAGAAAATTCCATTGCAACCTTTCTTGTCAGACAACTTGGCAGAAGGTTTTATTTCAATGTCTTGTTCCACGTAAAGAAAGAGTTGTCAATAGAAATTATATGAAACCTGTCGCAAGCAATATCTACTGTTGTTGAAGAACCTTCTCCAAACTCACCTACGTTTTCCATAAAACAGCAGTTGTATATTCGTAAGTTCCAGGAACTATTTCTGACCTTCTAATGGCATTGTCGCATTCGTTATACCATTCGGAAACATTTCCATTCATAGCATCCAAAACTGTTGGCGTTATATTCTGAGCGGCGTACATTTCATATGAGTAAAAATATAGAATAGTTGGATTTATATGTCATAATAGAACCACGTGGACCAAGCTTTACTTTCTTCCTGACTGAGTTTTTTAACTCTTCTTTTTCCTTCATTGCCCTCTGCTTCAAGTTGTTGCATCTTTGCATTATGTTCATGTAGTATGTTGCAAATTTCCCATGCCTTTTTGCCTTTTGGCTCTGGTCGCCCATCTCAGGTAACCTATATCCTAGAAAGAGTTTGTCATAGTCTGTATTTGAGTCTTCGCGTATTGTTTGCATGACTCTTTCCTGAGTTTCCGGTTCAAGCGCTTCAAACAGTGCCTGTCCATATGGAATAAGCTCGTTTCCAAATATATGTTTTTGTAGCCATTCTGGTTTTCTTTCCATGTTACCAACTATATCTTTTGTGAATGGGAAAGCTTTTACCCAATCTTTCAGTCTTGCGTCGTTTATTTCTGTAGTTGGTTTTATTTTGTCAAGGAACATGTTTTTCAATACTAACATTTCATTTGGTACTGTCCATTTGAGTTTTCTTAAATATTCATCCATTCTCGGTTCATTGTCTGCAAAGTAAGTTTTTATGACATTTTGTAAACTTTCGTTTGCAAGGTCATGTACAATAGGTTCTCTTCCTTCGCTCTCCCTAACTTTCTTTCTAAACTCTTCACCAAATATACCATCTCTATGGTTCTGTGTAGTTCTTTGAGATAAATGTTCTAGAACGTCAGGTGTTATATTTCCATCAGCCATGTTCATTTCATACTGGTCCAAAATATCTGCATGTTTCATATCTTTCAATGGCATTAAAGCCGCGCTTAAAATACCAGCTATGTCTCGTTCACCATTGACTTCCATTGCGTCTACAACTTCTTGGAATTGTGGTTGTAAGTTTATGAACCACCTATCCGGGTTAGCTTTATGACCCCATCTCATTGTAGTTCCATCGTCTGCAGAAACAAAAGTAGGTTTGTTTCCATCTTGGTTAGGTTCTGAATGAACTTTAAACAATGTTTCATTTCTATATGTTTTCTTGAATTTAACCTTTTATTTTCACCGAGTTCATCCGAAGATTGAACGTTAAATGCTCGTAAGTAAAAAGGGTTGTTGTATTTGTGTACATTTTTTTCAGTTCTTCCATTCTATGCTGGATATTTTCATCTGATGTTGGAGTCTTTTGTATGTCGGCAAACATTTTTCGATATTCTTCTACTATGTCAGCCGAATTTTTTTTAGACTCTTGGAAATATTCCATATTCTCCGCATACTCTTGTTGAGGGTCAAGATTTTTCGGCTGTTCCAAATCTTCATCTAGTTCTGTGAAGTTAGTTTCCAAAGGAGGACTTGTTCGTTTCCTTCAGGCTCTTCTAGCTGTTGTTGCTGAACTATTTCTTCCATGTCTGGTTGTATCTGAACTATTTCTTCCTGTGGAGTTTCTTGTACCTCATCTGCTGGCATTTCATATATTCCGAGACCGTTTTCAACAATTTCCCTATCTACGTCATCCGCATTCATAAGCTTTTGTTCTTTCGTTCCGTCTCTATTTTTTACGCGTTTCATGACGAAAGTTGAATTGTCATTTAGCTCTGACATCAAATATCTCGGAGTAAATTCATCCATGTCATTTGGATGATATGCTATTAAATCATATCCCTTAGCGAGCTTGTATTTTCCAGGTTTGAGATTTATATCCGGTTTTGGTGCTGAGCCATAAAGCTAAATAGGTTCGGGTCAGTATTTCCATCCTTGAACTTTCCAATAGCTTCTTTATATCTGTCACTAAAGTCAACAGTATCTGGGAAACCACACTCTTCTTTAAGCATTTTTAAAATTCTTGGTTTCCTTGTTCTCTACTTCTTTTATGTCCTTGCTCTGTTTTGTGGTTGTTGTTGTGCAGGGTTTTGAACTGTTGGTTGTGCTGGATTTTGAACTGTTGGTTGTTGTGCAGGGTTTTGAACTGTTGGTTGTTGTGCTGGTTGTGGAGGTGGTTGTTGTGCAGGGTTTTGAACTGTTGGTTGTTGTGTTGGTTTTGGTGCATGCCTGTGTCTATGTCCATGTGACGATGTAAATGTTTTAGGTAGTCCTGGTGCAGGTGCTTCTCTTGGAGGGTTTGGTGGTATATAAGTTCCACCAGCTGGCACATATGTTCCATCTGCAGCGTAATGTCCTACCTGACTTTTCGTTTTTAAGAAAGCATTTACTAGGTCTGTTTTGGTCTGTTGTAACTCTTTTTCTTGACTTTTCACAACAGTTGCTCTAACGGCGTCATAGGCACTTTGAACTGCCTGTCTCGTTGCTGCATCTGTTATTTTCGTCATATTTTGTGCTACTTCTCTTAACTCTTTGTCGAAACCTTCAGACTTCAGTTTCTTTCCAGATGAGAAGTCGTTCACTTGTTTCACCTTACTATGAAGAGCTTCGAAAGCGTTCTTAAAGTCAGCATTTGTTAAAGCTTCATTTGAACTATCTTCATCCGCTTGTATTTTTGTCCTTATTGACCCTATGAGTTGGGCTGCTTTAGCGTTGGCTTGGGCATCTAACCAGTCATTGTTAGCTTTTATATATTCTGCGCTTTTCATTGCCTTTTGCATAGCCGCGTCGTTATTTTTACTTTCTTGTGCTAAGTTTTCATACTGTACGGTTTGGTTTTGCAACTGTAAAAGTTTTTCTGCCTTTACATTTGCTTCAACTTCTTTTTTATACTCATCGCTATCCATATATGTCTTCAGGGCTTTTTGTTTTATCTCTTCATCTTTCAGTATTTTATATTGAGTAGTATGGTTTTTCAAATTTATGACATCTTGTTCCATTCTTGCTACTTCTGCTGCTTTTTCTGACACTTTTTTCGCATATTCCTCTGTACTTAGTTCTTTCAGTTGTTCTCTTTCTTCTTTTTCTCTACGTTTAACTCATTGAGTTTCTTTGTGTGTCTGTCATATTCTAGTTTCTTTTCGTTTTCACTTATTTGCTTCTGTATGTCTATGTTTGACTTTTTGACATCTGTTATTTGATTTTTGAGTGAACTCAAATTCATTTGACTTTGAGGGTTATATGCTGTTCCGTCTGCAGCTCCACCATAGCCTGCCATTTTCGCTAAAAGTGCCGCTCTTAAACCTCCACTCTGTGCACCAACAACTCGGTTTAAAAGCATAGGATTTTGACATTTGTTGCAACATAGTGGGGTCATTCAGCATTTGTTGTTGCAACTGTTGTTGTGGTGTTAGTCTTACTATTGGATGTTTCAATGCTCTCTTCCTCTTACGTATATTCTTACGTAGCTTACGTGGCATTTTAAGTGAAGTTAAAAAGCGGTTTTTGACAGATGTTTATTGTGACTTCTTCGTAAAGACTTTGTTAAGACTTCTTCGTAAAGACTTTGTCAAGACTTCTTCGTAAAGACTTTGTTAAGACTTCTTCGTAAATGACCAAAAATATATTTTAGGTGAAGAGGTGAGATTTCACCTCTTTTTTCACCTCATTTCTCACCTCTTGAATTTTCATGAATTTCTTCGTAAAGACTTTGTTAAGACTTCTTCATCTAATTTCTCATGAACTTTCTTGTCTATGTTTTGTTGAGATTTCTTCGTAAAGACTTTGTTGAGATTTCTTCGTAAATGACCCTAGTAGTATATTTTTGGTGTAAATTTCATGAAAATTCCAAGAGGGTGAAAAATTAGGTGAAAAAACAGGTGAAATCTCACCTCTTCACCTAAAATATATTTTTGGTGTAAAATTCAAGAGGGTGAAAAATTAGGTGAGAAAACAGGTGAAATCTCACCTCTTCACCTAAAATATATTTTTGGTGTAAATTTCATGAAAATTCAAGAGGTGAGAAATGAGGTGAAAAAACAGGTGAAATCTCACCTCTTCACCTAAACATTATTTTTGTCTGATTTTACGAAGAAGTCTTGACAAAACATTTACGAAGAAGTCTTGACAAAACATTTACGAAGAAGTCTTGACAAAACATTTACGAAGAAGTCTTGACAAAACATTTACGAAGAAGTCTTGACAAAACATTTACGAAGAAGTCTTGACAAAACATTTACGAAGAAGTCTTGACAAAACATTTACGAAGAAGTCTTGACAAAACATTTACGAAGAAGTCTTGACAAAACATGAAAACATATATAATTTGTGAAAAGTGAAACATTATATAATGTTTTCGACCAAGAAGACTAACAATTTTCCGAATAAAAACTTCATTTATACTAAACATCTTCAGGGCTAGAAGGCACGAAGTGCCTGGAAGCCCCACTCCCTTTTTTTTTTTTTTTTTTTTTTTTTTTTTCATGTAAATTGAATAAAATGTTTAAAGTTGATGGATTCAAAATTTCAAAAATAAAAGGGGTGATTAGTTTGAAATCTATTCCTCAATCAAGAATCACCTCATTAATGAAAATTGATGATTTAACAAAAAGAATAGAAATTATTGAAGAGCGAATAAATCAAATTATTGATTTCATAAATCATGACTCGTTGAGCCTGGGTCCTTAAAACCTATCACTGAGTTCAAGGTTATATTCATCAAATATTTCATTATTAAATGCAACTTCTGCTAGTTTATTTATTTTTTCAATACGATCATTTGAAAGTCTATCGTTTAATTTTTTCTGAAGTTTTTCATTTGCTAGTTCTGAAACTTTATTTGGATGATATTTAAACCCGTTAAATTCTTTTTCCTCAGTTTTGATCATTAATTTACAAAGAACTTTTGTGGATGGAATTTGTTTAAACCATTTATCATTAATATTTGTTATAAATTCCATATTCGGAATTAATTCCCAAATTTTTGCATTTTCAATTAATTTATTATCAAATGCAAAAGCAATAGGTTTAATATTAAACTTACCTTTATAATATAAACTTTCTATGCAATCATCAAAATAAACGTCTACTTGTTTAACATGGGTGAGAATTGGTGAAAGAGCATCCATTAATTGATTGACGGTTACGAATCTTGATCCACTCATTTTCTTACGAATTAAAAAAATAAAAAAATAAATTTAACTTAGTTTTAATTTTACGTAAGAAGTCAATTTTTAAATCTTGATTTATTCAAAAACGTAAGAATAAAAACTGTAAGAATCATACATTTTTTACTTCATATGTTAGAAAAAATGATACAAAATCGTTCAATATTGTATGAATTCTTACGTTTACAAAAAAAGTCACACAACCCGTCCACATATACTACTTATGATGTATGAATAAGAGTATGATTGGTATAGATTTGGGTTGTATAAATGTGATTGAACAATTGTTAATGGAAAGTTCAAAAACTTGGGTGCAATCAGAACTGATTGCACCCAAGTTTTTGAACTTTGTATAAGGAATTGTTGGCTATGATGTACTGATCATGAATCAGTACATCATAGCCAACAATTCCTTCCCAAACAACCCGAAATTTGTCTGATTCCACACTAATTTTATTAATTTATCTAAACTTTTATCCTCGTCTACAATTTAATCATCAATAATTATCTCTTGTTCTATTTCACTATTATATATATATATATATTTATATGATTTGATTTAAAAAAAATAAATAAATAAATTAATAAATCATTTACTCAAATATATCAAAAGTTTTATTTTTATATATAAAGATAACTACTTTTAAAAAAAATACCCTATATATTTTTGCCATGTAAACTATTTTTGCCATGTAAACTTGTCACTTTTGTCAGAAGTGAAGTGAACCGAATTTTCATGCACAACAACCCATTTTGGAACGTAAGCATTGATTGTAGAGCCGTCATCCTTCTTGACTTCATCGATATCTGTTGTCGTGGCGTGTCTGTACATGAGGGCAAGGTCAATTGCTTGTTTTAATGTCATTGTAGTCTCATTATTCATGAAAAAGCTCATACAATCGTTAACTGATTGGTATCTGATGATTCTAGAGTTAGCTACTTCATTAGTAATCATGTACAATCTCCTTTGGAACCATAATTCTTTGTAATTATCGCATTGACCAGGAATATAATTTTCTGGATTCAAAGGAATCTTCTTATCTCCATCTTGGTAGTAGAGAGCGTATCCGTCTAATACAGGAAGACCGAGTTTTGCCATGAAACGCTTGATAATGTCTTCAATTTTCATATGTAAATCGATTTTTAATGTTTTCGATGAATTTGCGTTATGGAACTTGATCAAAGTGATTGGATTTACGACGAGAATGATGAGGTTGTCGAAAATTTCTTGTTCGTAGAGCTTCTTGTCGAGATCTAACCACTCGAATTCGTTAATTGACTTAATTACCAAGACTACGTACTCAGGGTGATTCTTTTCACCCTCGCGAATGAGTTGTAAGTTGAGCGCGGCCTTTTCTGCGAGCTGTCGGCCTGTAAAATCTCTGTCATAAGAAAAAATTTCGCAATGTTTGGAAGAAATCTTTGAAATTGTCTTGAGATTGATCTTCTCGAATGATGAAGAAAACTCAATCTTCTCACCATTCGCTTTTCTTTCGGCGCGATTTTGAAAAATTTTTCTGATAATCGAGTGATTTTCAGAAATGTAGCTGTAAAATTCGTCTGCTATATCTTCATCTGCAAGTTTGGCTATTATTGTGTTTTCGTCTTTGTTTCTGTTGTAATAAGTTAAGATAACTTCGCGATAATCCAATTTTACGGATTTTAAGTTCATGAATGAAATTCTGAAGCAGAAATTATCAGAATCTGCACGTACTTTCAGACATTTTTGTGTAGCAAAAATGATTTCAATGGGATTAGCGATGGCAGTACATTGTTGTGTTCTCTTTTTGCCTGATGGATCTTGTGTGATGTATGCTGATTCTATGTACGCTCCGAATCCTGGGATAGAACGCATAACTCTGATCCAATTTCGATAACAATTTATTTTGGTTGGAATTTTCAATTTTGAGTAGTTCTTGATAATCATCTTTCGATATTTTTCGATTGACTTTGCTTGTGGAAGAAAATCAACGACGTCCGAAGGCATATTTGACAAACTTGTATTATTGTAATCGATTAAATACGTAAAGTATGCTAAATTTTGTATCTGTTCGTCATTAGGATACAAATTCATATAAGGGATTGCCTTTAATATTGATTCGTAAGCTTGTTTTGCCAGAAATTCCGAAGTCAGATCTTCTCTTGTAAAGTTAAAGTAGCGTCTAAAAACTCTGAATGTCCTACTTGGTATGAAGCAGGATCCAAAGATTTCATCTCTCATCAGAATTACGTACTCTTCATTATCTTCATAAGAAATAGTATAATCATGAGTAATTTCAATATTATATTGTTGAAGATATTTCTTAACTACATCTCCGACTGTCATTGAAAGATCCATTTCCATTGTTTCTTTATTGCAAAAAATAGATTCAAAACGTACAGAATGAGTTTGTGGGAGTATGCTAAAAAAGCAGTCGTCATTGATATTGTATGACTGTAAATTTTTATCTGGATCAAGAAAGATGTATTCATCGTTTGGTAATTCGCAAATGATAAAATGGGGTTCTGAAATATTAACGTTAAATCTCCTTAAAGCAACTTTGACGGCTTCTTTTGCTGTTTTTGAGAGTAAATATGGTATACTAACAGTTACACGAGCTTTATTCATGTAACGTGTCGGTATTTCAATTGTTTTTTCATATGATTCTTCTTCTATTGCTTGAGAAACATTGAAATCTAATATTCTGTTGCCTATTTCATTTGTCATATCAGAAATATCGACCACATTATTACTCATATTGTTGAACAAAAAAAATTGAACAAAAAAAAACTGTATCAGAATTCGAAATTATCAAAAATTAAATTCTAGAACATATTATAATGGTAGCAATAAATGTCATTAATATTGAATAAAAGTGTCAAATTATTACCAAAAGAAAATTGAAAGATATTATTTGATGCAAATAGATATACATCGTAATGGTGGTTTGATTAAAATCCTTTGAAAATTGAATGATAGGGAGCCGTTAGTACCCTCCAAGAAAATTAATAATTTTATGGTATATTTTCATTTGTATAATTTGTCAAATATAAAATTGAATGCATGCTGAAATTTCATTTGAATAAAAAAGTTCCTGATTTTTATAGTCACAAAATGTTTGTTTCATTGAGCTTAATAAAATTGTGTAAAATGAAAACCTCAACTGAAATTTGATTAAACGAACTAATTATGATTTTTATATGTCAACTATCAATGATATCAAAAATCAAAGAATAACTTCTAAATGCATGACAGAATCTGATCTCGATTACCAATTTCAAAATGGATATTGTAAATTTGTATAATTTCCTATACTTATATTTAAAAATTAAAACTAGGACTATTGTGATCAGACTGAATTATTTCTTATTTTATTACCAATGTTGTTTGCTAATTCGCTATATAGTTTTCTCTTAAAACACTCGTAAAAGAATAGTTCATATATTAAGCAGGCCGTATTAACTAAAGTTTTTATATTATAATTTTCTCTTATCAACTAAAATATCATAAATTTAAATGCTTTCCTCATCCTTGCTTTCCTGATCAAGTAACTCAGCGACATGTTCAACGAAAGCATTGAAGATGTCAGCCGAGCCGCCACATAAGTGAACTTCCATTACACAACCATCTCCCGATCTATAGGAATCCACTTCAATGAATGTTCCCTTATCGACACTTCTTGCGAATATCGTGAAATCGTCCGGATGGAACCATTTCATGTTCAAATTGTTACAAGTTTTCTGGCAAACTAACATTGCCTCTTCTTGTTCGATACTTTCATGCTGGAGAGTCTGGTCCATGAGAACATCTGTTCCCTGTGGAACAACAGCATCCCAGTCTGGTCTGACAGCGAGAGACATTGGTCCATCTCTTGTCAACGATTGTGGAGAGCCAGTCATGCGGTGGAACGGGCCAACACCATTGACGAATGCTTGTTTGGTAGGTTCGCATTCGATTGTATCGAAGAACTTTGGGCTTGTATCTGTTCCGTCCCAGTTAAGTTGTTCGATTGAAATTCGACTGGTTGCCATACGGTAAAAGACCTTCGAAAGAGCGGCTTCGTCACTTGTAAGCTCTTTACGTAGTACTTCTGCGTCTGTATAACCGATTTTATAAAGGATATCGAGGATTTGATCGTCGATTTGAGATTCTGGTATTGGCTCTGTAAAGTTTGGTGTCGGTGGTGGTGCTGGTAATACATATTCTGGATTAAGGCCTTCTCTGAAGATAGGTGACTCTTTAATTTGTTGGATCGTAAAGCGATTCTTTGGATCGATCTGCAACATGCCGTTTATGAGTGCTTTTGCTTCTGCTGTGAATGTTTTCGGCATCGAATATACGCCCCTCTTGACTTTGGCAAGAAGAGTACGAATATTTGGATCATCAAACGGTAAATAGCCGGCAAGTAATGCGTAAAAGATGACGCCGCAACTCCATATATCAGCTTTCTTGCCTTCGTATGGAAGTCCGCGAATGACTTCTGGAGCAGCGTAATGCGGTGATCCGCATGAAGTTTCTGCGATGTTTGATTGGACAAAACGGGCGAAACCGAAGTCTGCGATCTTAACGTTGTAGTTTGAGTCTAATAAAATGTTCTCTGGTTTAAGATCTCTATGACAAATACCAAGGGAGTGTAAATACTCGAGTCCGTATATGATTTGACGGAAGAATTTGACGGCCTCTGGCTGTGGTAAGAATCTCTTTTCAACCAAATAATCAAATAATTCTCCTTTGGACGCGTATTCTGTAATGATATATAAATGCCTAGGAGATTCGAGGACTTCAATAAGTCCAAGAAGATGAGGGTGATCAATCAACTTCATCAGTGTTGTTTCTCGTTGTATTTTCTGGTTGAGGTCAGGTCTTTGGTCGAATGATGACTTTTTGATGATTTTGATTGCAACTTCCTCACCATTCTTCGTATTCATGGCCAATTTGACCTTTCCACTGATTCCTTTGCCAAGAGTGCGAATCAGTTTGTAATCTCCGATCATAGGGGAGTCATCCATGTTTCGGTGATTTGATTTTTTCAATGAGTTGTCTCAAAATTTATAAATGTTTACATCATCGATTTTGATTGTTGTCAAACACTTAACCACTGATTTCAAGAAAGTGAAAGGTTTCATATTTCGTTGAGATGCTAGCTCAAATAGCATTCATTGTTTTGAAAAAAAAATACGTTTGGGGAGAACATGTATTTTATAGTACATTATTGCAGAAGATACTATAAGTTATTTAAATTTCGAATCCAAATGGAAAATCAGAGTCTGTTCGATCTTCAGGGTGGCTTCCGACCAAATTGTCACTTTTTAGCCCAAGTGAGAAAATTTCGTAATTTATAACCAAGTTTTTTAAAATCTATATTTAATAAAGATTCTATTTTTCTTATTAAATTTCAAAAATGAGGGGGTTCGGAATCGTCCACAAATTGCCGAAAGGGTTTTTGCCAGTTTTGAATCCGCTTATTTTTATCGACCAAAATTATAATAAATATAATTTTCGATAAGTATTCTACCCAAATGATTCTTCAAAAAATTATTTTTTGGATTTTATTCCGTAAAAAAAGTTAAAGAAAACGCCTAGAAAATTTCGAATTTTCCCTATAAAATTCAGTGCGGGGCGATTTAAGAGATTTTTCAAAAATAATCATATCAGTAGATAGGGTATAATATAGAGGAGCTTTATGAATAACTTAAAATCCGGGAAACTCAATATTCAACGAGAAAAACGCTTAACGAATCTCACTTTTGGTGTAAACATCACAAAAAATTGAGAGGGCTTTCTGGTCGGAAGCCTCCCTTCAGAGAACGCGATTTTATATATTCTCGAGCAAGAATTGGGTATTTGACTTAGAATAGCTTACTTGGACTATATTTATCTCCTTTTTATCAATTGAGTATAAACAGATTTCGCAAATTCAAAAGTCAATACAATTTTATGGGAAAGTGAAGATTCTCTCAACTAGACAATGTAGAGGTGAAACCGCAATAAGACGAATAAAATTAACTTATCAAATAAATATGCCAATTCAAAATGATCCATAAGCTTCAAAAAACTAAAACTTGATTCGACATGCATCTATATATCTAAAGATGTGCTATCAAACCCTGTCTCATATAATATTCCAAAATCTTTTCCGTATTCCCTTCTATTCTTATGATGATTTGAATGCGTGAACGTCATCAATAATAAACATATAAAAGTGACTTATTTTGGGCTATTGTTCATCAATTTGATGAACCTATATGAAGTAGATTATACTCTTACATTTGGATATAATTAGTTATTTATTTTTTTGAAATGGATGATAATGAAGATGAACTTCTTACAACAGAATTAGAAGAAATTACGCAAGAACCAAGCGAATCCGATTCTTCATTCAGTTCATTTGATGCTCTTAAAGATTCTCTCGCTTATATGTCTAATATTGTATCAGTTCCACCACAACTTGAATTAGGTCTCGATGCATTTGCTCTTGGTAACAATGCAATGAAAACCGAAGATCCTCTCTCATTTGTTACCATTAATATTCCAAGAATGACTAAACCACATCTTGCAGACTTATTAATCAGTAGTTTTTGCAACGCTACATATTTTCTAGACAAAAATCCATCAAATCAATTCAGTATACAAAACTATGAAGCTGATATGATTGAACATTTTGTAAATCATCCATTAGTTAGAAAGCCACATGAAGTACGCAACATCCTTACATCAGCAAATGAAGAATATGGTGCTCATACGCATGTTCTCAACTATCACGAGTTTTTAATCATTACATCAAGTATCGATACTCACGATTACTTTGAAGAAGGTGTAGATTGCATTATTAGTGTATCAAGATTCAAAGACATTACGCGAATAGGCAGTATGTCTCAGCATTTCACGAGATTTGTAATTTACACTTTAATTACAGACGAACATCCATGTGATATCTCAAACTTAATAGCCGTTTTACTAGAATTACCAAAAGTCTACTCAACTATCTGGAACTCTCATGATGAGAAAGAAATCAAAAAATCTTTCGAACAATCAGAAAGTGATTTCCTAATTGAGCTAGCTACAGCACACCAAGCGATGGAGAAAGTCAATGAACACCTTACTCACGATATTTCCATTGGAAGAGCTGACTGGGTACATCGACAAATGTTGCTAAACCATGAAATGATGTTTCACCACAAACACGAAATAGAAGACGAAGAATTCAGTTGTAGATCAATCTGCCAGATCGGAAGAGGTGTTATAAATGACTTCAAAAGGAGAATACATTATTATTGGTCTGATTGGCGCGATGGCTTCTCTTTGAAACCAATTTTTGTTGCTGTTTTCCTTGCTTTAGGAATTTTACCTTATGTTTATATTTTTGGTACTTCTATTGAACATTACACAGGCGAATTCATGAATACGTGGCATGTTTTAGTTTCTTGTATTGGTGCTGGAATTTTCATGTCGATTTTTTCACCACAACCAATGATATTTTTGAGTCCTTCTGCAGCTTTTATTCTTTTCTTGAAAGCATGTAAAAACATGGCGAAGTCACTACATCTTACTTTAGAACAGATTTATCCGATGACTGCTATTTTTGCTGCTTTCTTTTTGTTGGTTTTTAGTTTGACGAATATTTCAACAGCCATCAAATACGTGACGAGTTTTTCTGATGAAGTCTTTGTTGCTTTTGTCGCTTTCTTGTTTTTACTTGATTCCATCAAAGAAGTTCTTTCTCCCAGTGACCAATACATACAAGTTTGTTCTGCTTTCACTGCTTTATGTGTTTTTGTTGTCACTTTTGCAATTAATCGCATCAAATTTAACTCTATGACTTATTCATGGTTGAGATCTATTGCTTCGGATGGAGCTCCTGTTATATCAAGTATAGGTGTTGCTCTATTCCTTTCTTATGTTTTCCCATCAGTTTACAAAAATCTTCCTCATTATTCTATTTATAATTTACAAGGAAAATTAGAATTTGTTACTTTTTCGGGATTTTCGACGAAAATCTTTTTTGTTTCTATGTTGTTAGGATTTTGTGCCGCGATATTGATATTGTTAGAACATAATGTCACTGCTAAATTAGTTAATGGCGAAGAGATGAAACTCAGAAAACCATGTGCGTATCATTTAGACATTTTAGTTTTAGCTGTTGTTAATTTAGTATTAGGATTGTTGAATTTACCATTAGTTACTGCATCAAAGATACACACATTCCATCATATCCATGCAATGAGTGTTCACACATTTGAATATGATGAAGAAGGAAATCCTTCCTCTTTGTGTATCAATGTTTCTGAGACAAGATTGACTGGTTTATTATCTCATATTCTTTTGTTTATTGTTTTACTCTTTCCAAAGATAATGACACTCCCAAGAGCTGTATTTGCAGGTGTTTTGGCTTTCATGGGTGCAATAACTTTGTTGAATACAACTCTTTTAGTTCATTTGATTTCTTTGTTTTGGAAACCAGAAAATTTGCCACCAAATCATTGGCTGAGAAATGTCAAGAGATGGAAGATTTTGGCAATTAATATTTTGCAGATTGGTTGCATTGTTTCTATTTATTTCATTGAACATTCAATTATTGGATTTCTTTATCCTGTTTTTATTATTTTGATCGTTGCTTTGTATAGAACTATCTATTACTTCTTCCCTGAAGACATGATGATGATAGAAAATGGCTTTGTTGAGAAGAAAAAGAAGAAGAAAAACAACGATTTGTATTAATTTATATAAAAAACTGTTTGTAATTGCGATTATATATTTATTTGCATTTTATACAAAATTAAGTTAAAGCAAATAGAAATAATCTTACAAATGCACATATAAAATATAAGTTTTAAAATTATTTAGAAGCATAAGGTTGTTGAACCTTAAATAATGTCTACTTCACTGATAAAATGCTAGTTATCTAACTGTTTGCATCACTAATCCAAGTTTTTGAGATCGATGAAGACAGAATTTTCTAGTCCTAAGAGGTTTTCAACAATTTCTAGATAATAGAATAACTGTAAATTGCATGTAGATTGTTAATTTGTCGAAAATCCAAGCATTGTTGTTGCGAATTTTGTCAGGCAGGGCAAAAATCGAAAATAAATTTTCAAAAGAAATCTTTGCAAAATTATCAATCGATATCTGATGAAATTTATTGAAAAAATTGATATCCAGAATAAAATTTTCATTTGAGAGGAATTAAAAGTAAAAATATAAAATTAACGGTTTTGGTCAAGGCGGCATTTAAAACAAATGTGTGCAGCATATATTCCTCCACATCTCCGTGCCCAAGGTGTTCAACCACATATGGCACAAAACTCCGCTACAGAAGCGCTTGCTAACGAAAAGCAAAGCCATTTCCAAGCAAATCGTAGATCACGTAGAACAGCAAACCGCGGAATGGCCCGTTCTTTCTCAGTTCCAGCTCGCCTCAGCGAAATCTCTGACCAGCAAGTCGAAGAACTTTTCGCTCAGAACGAAGCAAGCGAAGATTTCCAAGTTTATGAAGATTCCGAAGTCAAAGTTCATTCAACAAATCAACTCGATCCGATTACTCAATTCCCACGCTGTGGTGTTGACAATCAAATTCTCAGCAATATCGCAGGATTGGGCTACAAATTCCCAACTGCAGTTCAAAAATACTCAATTCCTTACATTCTTAATGGACATGATTTAATTGTCACTTCTCAAACAGGCAGTGGTAAGACAGCAGCATTCATGTTGCCAGTTATCACTCAATTACTCAAAATGCAATTATATATTCATCCATCGGTAGTTATCATGTGTCCTACACGTGAATTGGCGCTTCAGATCGAGGACCAAATCAACAAGTTCGCAGAAGGAACAGGTCTTCAGACTGTTTGCGTTTTCGGTGGATCCCCAATTCATCTTCAACTCAGACAGCTCAGCTACGCTTGCAACATTCTCGTTGCTACACCAGGACGTCTCAACGATATCCTCAAGCGTGGCCAGCTTCAGCTTAAATACGTAAAATACTTAATTCTCGATGAAGCCGACAGAATGCTCGACATGGGCTTCGAACCGCAGATTAGCGAAGTAATCAACGGTTTCGACATGACGGAAATCGCGAATCGCCAAACTTTACTCTTTAGCGCCACATTCCCTTCAGAAGTCCAGAATTTGGCCAGGAGTTTCATGAAATCGGCCTTCACGCGCATTGAGGTCGGCCTCCAGGACCCTCCGGCCTTGATTGAGCAGCACTTCGAGTACGTTCGCGATTACGACAAATTCCCAGCCCTCATCGACTTCTTGAACGCTCACGATTGCCCCACACTTGTCTTCGCCGAAAGAAAGACAAGCGTTGACCGCATCGAGGACTACCTTTACGAGGAAAATTACCCAGTTGTCGCTATCCACGGCGATAGAGACATGGACAACCGTCTGGCCGCTCTCGATGGCTTCACATCAGGTCGTGCGCGCATCATGGTCGCTACAGATGTCGCTGCCCGTGGTATTGATATTCCGAACGTCGGCCACGTCATCAACATGGACCTCCCGACCGACGTAGACTCGTACATCCACCGTATTGGAAGAACAGGACGTGCTGGAAGACGCGGTGTCGCTACAAGTTTCTGGAATGAGTCAAATGAGCCGTTCCTCATCGCTCTTTTGGCCCATTTAAGGAAGACACAACAACCAATTCCTGACGGGCTTGAAGAATTCGCTCAGCACATCCAGTCTCAGAGAAGAGGTGGTTCTAGAGGTGGAAGAGGCGGTGGCCGAAGAGGAATGCCTAGAGATAGGTCATTCAACAACATAGGCCACAGATATTAACTGTTATATGAATATATATTGTTATAAACTGTTTTTATTTGCTATCCTATCCAAATTACCCCTTAATTTTTAAAATATTTGATTGTAATTGATAAGGTAATTGAAATTAAGCTAATAGTAAGTTAACTGATCTATTTAGGAAAGATTTTATATAATATTGTATTTCTAGATTTGATTTTTGGAAACATTGTGTTGATAATTATGTATTCGATTATGAGTTGAGTGTAATGTACTGATGGAGATATGTATCTTTTCCAAAAAATATAATTGAAAAATTAATTTTATGAGATTTGATGCGTTTTTGTTGGATATTAGAATAATACTTTTAGTAATTAATGTGATGCTGAATTTGTTCGGTTCCTATTTCATGAATTCGCAAAGTTGGCTGGACAAGTGACGTTTTTCTGGCACTTTTCGGTTCTTAAAGGTTTTAAAGTAAATATCATCTGTTTGGTAAAAGTTATTAATAAAAGTTATTAAGCCGATCATACAATTCAAAATTGAATCAATCAATTGAGAGCATATTATTAATTGAGAGCACCCAAATTTCCCAAATACCAAAATCGCTTTGTTATTTTTAACATAGTCCTTGATGCCTATATCTTGATTTGCCCATAAAATTTGAAAGCAAAAAATCGATGAAAGATTTCCCAGATGGTATAGAGTAGAAATTTGGGCATATCTCAACCCGTCTGATGATTTTACTCTATTATATTATAAAATTAAGCAATCAAGAATATTGTGAACTCTTGTAAACAATTATAAAATTGACATAAATGCTTTCGCAGTTCTTCTCCAACTTCGCTCAGAAGAAAGCAGCCTTCTCAATGACACCAGCTGCTATCAAACAGATCAAGGAGCTCCTTAAGACAGATTTCGAGAACAAGATGCTTCGCATTACACTCAAATCTGGTGGCTGCGCAGGCTTCCAATACGATTTCAGCTTTGACTCTGCTGCTCGTAAGGGAGATCACCTCTTCCAGCAGGATGGTGCTGCTGTTGTCCTCGATGACAAGGCCCTTCTCTACCTTCGTGGTGCAGAATTAGATTACTCCTCAGATATCTTCTCATCATACTTCAAAGTCAACATTCCACTCGAGTCTGAACTCCACTCATGCCACTGCGGAAAGTCTGTCGGCACAGATGAAACAGTCGGAAAGCACAAATGCAGCCACTAAGTTCCTTAGTAGCATTATACAGACGTATTTGGCGTATTTGTAATAGAATACAGAAAAGTTAAACTTATTTTATATTGATATTTTAAAATTTTATATAAAACAAAAATATTTAATATTTTCAACAATAAAATCATCAAAAATATAAGATAAAAACAATAATTCTAATTAATATACAGATAGTGATTCAATCTTATGAAGTAAAAATGCACTTCTTTCGGCCAAAATAAGATTATCAGGTGTAATTAATTCCTGAAGTCGATCTCTAATATCAGATTCGAACAAACTACTAATAAATCCTTCGAATGCATCACTTGATAATGCAACCTGAAGAAGTTTTATCAAAGTATCGATACATCTCAATTCGATCATCGAAACTCCGCAGCCAAGCATCTCTATAATGAACTCAACAATGTTTTCTGTCATATAAACAGCCAGATTTGCGCTGTCCGTGAAAACAATTAAAGTGGAAATGAAGAAAATTGCTTCTTTCTTGACTTCGAAGTCGGATGTGTCGAATTGCTGAAGTAAGCTGTTGACGAAATCGCTGTCAAAGAAACTCAACAGCAAATTCGGAGCAGATTCAATCATATTCGACAAAATCCAAAGGGAGTAAGTAACATATTCTGTAGACATGAATGCCAATAGCTTGTCCATGATGCCCAAATCAATCAAAGTCTTCACTTGTGGACCACTCGCGTTACTCATGTTTCCGATGAGGCATAAAGCTGAAGCAGTTAGCTGTGGATTGTCCATGAGTTCGTATATTACAGGATATAATCCAGCAGAATACATTGCAAAGATGATTGCGGGAGTTTTGTTCGACATTTCAACCAAACAGTTGATAATATCTTGAACTGCATTCGCTGACTCAAGGCGTAGAAGATTGGATATTGGTTCTAAGCATTCTAAAAGGATAGCTATTTCAATTGGTTCTGAATTCTGAAAAATAGAAACAAGAGCTGAGCATGCGCCATCTACTGCTGATTTTGTGGAAGAATTGGAGGCTATTTCGACTAGAGTAGTTTGGATTCCAAAAGAAATGAAGCCATCTCTTGCATATGAAGAAACTGAACAAAGTCCTGCTATAAGATGATAGAGTGATTCATATATGGATTCATTTCCTTCACTCAGAATCGAAAAGATAATTAAGCAAAGGTCTTTATCGATAAATTCTTCGATAATTTCTTTAGGTAAAACATTTGAGAGTAACTGTAAGAAGTTGAAAATCTTTATCTTGGTTTCAATATCTATATCACATTGTACTGCGTTTAAAATTGGTTCAATTAAAATATCATTTTTGAACAATATTTTTGCGAATTGTATTGGTTTGAGTTCTAGACTCTCTATACGGTTCATAAGTGCCGAGATATTCGATGAATTTCCAGAGTTGAAAATAGAAGCCACGTCGTTGATATCCATTGAGAGTTGATTCAGATTACATGCTGAATTGCTAAGAATGCATTGTTGCACATTCTGTGCATTCCTCAGATTGTAAATCGAAGGTCGTTTGATTGATCTCAAAGAGAGTGTTCTGCTGTTTCGATCTCTAGCTAGCTCCATCTTGTAGTTAGATAGGTCACAGCCACTCTCTGTGAGAGTTGTGAAATCATTCATTATGGTCGAGTCGCTTGATTTTGTTATTTTTTGGAAACTAAAAAAAAAACTATGATGTAAAGGATTGAAATTTAAAAATTCTCCAAGATAAATCACTTTATTTATAAAATAATTCATTGCACCAAGCTTGTGAATAAAAACGGTGAATGTTCTCAAAATTCTGACATCTTCGCTTGAAAAAAAAATATTTTGAATTAATTTTTTTTAGTAAAATAATCCTTACTCCGATAAATGATAAGTTTATATCTGAAAGAGTGATAGGGCTCAACAATACAAGACTCCTTACTACTTATATTGATATCGTATTACCTCAGATTATTCATTTGCAAGATATTTATTCGTTCTCGAAATGACTACCTATGAGGTGGTTGTAGTTTATTGCTCTAATTCTTGGATTTCACAAAATTATATACAAATCTTGATAAAAAGACAGGTAAGATATGTATTTATTCTATTCAATGATTTTGCTCATATCACATGAATCGCAAATTCCCAAAAAAACAGCAAATATAAAATTTCTTTCTTTAATCTGGAAAATACTATGACAAAAGGTATAAATTGGTTGAACCCAATCTGTTTATCGTAATTTTGAAGCATGGTTTTAAATGATTTCTATTTTTTTTCGAAATTTTGAAATTATAAGTTTGATTGCTATTTGTTGTGCAATAATGCATGTGTTTGATGCTGAATTTTGAATTTTTGAACGAAAATAAGAAAAAAGACAAAAGATTATTCATTTTCCAGAGAAATGACATTTACAAGCTGATTAGTATGTTGTATCAATCTTCTTTTTCTAATTTATTTGTTTCGACCATGGTCATATCGATGAGAATGAATTGATTCAAGAAAAAAAAAATGAGAGTTCGTGTATTGAAAATAATCGTTTGTAAAGTGATCGGGAGATTCAATCCTCACAAATTTTTTTCAATGTCGTTTATTGAATTTTGTATGGCCATTAATAAATTTCAGTTTCGGATGCAGATCTTTACCCAAGAAGAGCTCACAGCAGCCAAAAATCACAAATACTCAGGCACAGATGACTCATTAATGGTTCGATTCTGTTTCAAGTACATCTGGAACTGGATGGTCGAGAAATTCCCAATGTGGCTCGCCCCCAACGTTATTACACTCACAGGATTCCTCTTTGAAGTTGTTTCATTCTGTCTTTCATTCCACTATTCCTCTTTCATGAAAGTAGCCCTTCCAGATTGGTTATGTATTGTTGATGGCGCTTGCTTATTAATTTATCAGACATTAGACAACCTCGATGGTAAACAGGCAAGAAGAACAGGCTCATCATCCTCTCTTGGTCAGTTCTTTGACCACGGTTGCGACGCTATCACCGGATGCCTCGAATTAATGAAGGCTTCAATGGTTTTCGAGTACCATGCTTCAACCAAAACATTTGTATTCGTCTCCTGCATGGGTATTGGCTTCCTTCTCACAACCTGGGAAGAGTTTTGCACTCATAAGTTCTATCTCGGTTACTTGAACGGTCCAGACGAGGGTCTCTTCCTTCTTGGCCTTGCACAGATCTCATGCGGTATCAAGATAAGGATGAAAAACTTCTATAGCTGGAATTTCTTCAACTATGCCTTCATTATCGGTTTTGTTTTTACACTTCTCCTCATTTTCTATGACGTATTCAAAGAGATCTGGAACGAACCATCTAAAATCAAGCAGGGCCTTCTTGCAATCCTTCCTTGCTTCATTACTTTCGGATTATTCCTTGCCAACGCCATTTCGATGAAATTCTTCAACATGTCTCCATACTTCATCATGCTCTGCGGTCTTGTTCTTCAATACGGCGGTCAAATGATTATTGTTGCAATTTTGACCGGAAAATCAGCATTATCTCTTTTCAGCGCCATCCAGGTCATCGAGTGGATCTTGATTGCTGTTCCATTACTTCCAGAAATTGTGTTTTCAGAGCAGTACTGGATGATTTTGTTCTACGCTCACTTGGCACTGATGCTTATCACAGATATCAACGTTGTTTACAGCCTTTCTACTGGCCTCGGCATTCCTATCTTCACAATCAAGCACCGGGAACAGTCTCTCCCATCAGAACAGATGGAAATTGTCAACATCGAGGAAGATGAAGGTTCCTTCGCTGCTGACGCTGATCCTGAACAAGTTGACGACAAAGTTACTCAGGATCCAGAGCAACATGATGAAAAACCTGCTGAATCTCTTTAATTTATATGTTTCTTTCTTCAATAAATTATTTTGTTTCATTCTTTATTTTTCATATCAAAAAACTGTTTTTTAAATAAAATGATTGTCTTGTTTCACATCAATAAGAAAACAAGTAAATATTACATTGTAATGCAATATTGAGAGTGTTTAGAGTTAATTTACAATGACAATTCATCCCAGTTATTAGAAATTGAACTAAAATCAGACGAGTAAATATAAATGATTCTTCCGTGTAAGAAAGAATATTGAGAACTCTAAGATATTAACTATAGCTTTCTCGTTGTATAAAAATGAATAAAAAGATGAAGAAAATTAGAATATAATTTAACAAAACATATAAAAATAAAATATAAAACAATTGAAAAATTACTTGTAATCTCTCTTTGTTGAGTACATGTCAGTTGCGAGAGAGAAAGCTATGAACTGCTTCAAATCAGGAGAGAAATGTCCAGCAGAAGAAACAAAAGTAGCTCTTGCAGGCTGAAGGTTCAATTTGAAGTAAATCAGAGAAACAACATCAATCACAGCTTCCTGCAATGCTCTAGGTGTTTCTTCATTGACAGACTCAAGTAATTTACAGAGTAATCTCGCTGCGATGTTGTCATTTCCCTTCAACCTCAAGTAACTTGGCACAATCATCCTCATGAACGCGTCCAATTTCGCTGCATCGCCAGAAATCATGTCTTTGCACATCTGGCAGACAAAAGCAAAAACGTCAATCCTTGCTGTAGCGAGGAATGTTCTGCCAGCAATTACACTCGATGCTGATGGACTGTGCTCCATGAGGAACTCAAAGAAAGCACATGATGTCTCGAAGTTCATTCTGCCTGCAAGTTGTGCAACAGTTATTGCGATCTCCTCTTTAAACTTCAGAACTTTTCCTGCATCGAAAATTGGTCGGGCAATGAATTCGGCCAATTCTCTGCTTGTTCTCGATGAAAGACAGAGAGTTGCTATGGAGAATGACATCGCGTGGTCGTGCTGGCTCCAGTACTCGCTGTTTATTGCATCGGGGCTGTGCAGAAGAAGCTCTTTCCGCACAACAATGTTGTTCACAATGATGTCAATCGCTTGTTCGTCGTCTCCTGAAACTAAAAGGTCGTTTGCGGAAGGAAGGGAAGGAAGAACTTGGAGGAAAAGAGCGGCAACATCGGGAGTGATGTATTCCCTGTACAAAGAAGTGAATCTGGCGATCCAATGAAGGGCTAATTTGTCTTGCATCAGAGGATTCATCATGTTCTCCATCAGTTGAAGGGCCAAATCGTTGAATCTAAGGATAAGCAAGCGGCCAAGAAGGCATTGGCCAAGTAAAAGGCCGTGTTCGCACTTCCTGATTTCAAATTGACTCGTATCTGCTGGTTTTTCGAATGTTGCGAGCATCTTCGTGATGTATTTGACTAAGATCTCTGCAACAGCATTGAGTTTGAGGAACTGCGTCATCATTATTAGCCTCAATGCATGGTAAAGTCGGTCTTCTGACTCAGCTTCGTCCAAAATCTTAGAGATTTCCTTTATAGCGGTCGCTGCTGTAAGGGATTGGAGCTTTCCAACGAAATAAGCAGAGATTTCGTTTAAACCTTTGTCAGATTTGAAAAATTCTACACAGAAGAGCTCGTCTTTCGATTCAATGCTTGGCATAATCTGTATATTCTGCTTCAGACGTTCTTTCATTTCGCTTAATTTCTCGAATTCTTCGCAGTTTCCGACATCGCTGCAGAATGTGATGGCATCGATGAACTCAAGGTTTATCAGTAAGTCTGCGGAGTTGATGATGAGGTCCATGGTCTTTTCTGACATCTTTGGAGAATCAGATTGTAATAACTTAGCAATTATGAGTCGGGCTGTGTCCTCTGATGAAGGAATGGCCAATGCTCTGAACAAAAACGCTCTCAGATTGTCAACAGAGTCATGTTGGATTGCAATATGTAAAGCGTGGAAATACAAAGCTCTGGCGATGAGAATTGTAATCTCTTGTTCCTTTTCTTTCGGATCTAAGAACTTTCCGCAGATTCCTGATGCAAAAGCCGGACTTAATATTGAAAAAACAGTTTGAACAAAAGTACAAAAATCTGGAGTGAACATTCGTGTCTCCGCACAATCTATAATTGTTTTCTGTATTGAAAATATGATGCACCGTAAAAGTAAAATTCCCATGCAAGAAACTACGTAAACACTGACTTTTCTAGCGCGAGCGATGCAGAGAGTCTGCTTCATCTTGATTGGTATTTGATGTCCAGATGTATGAATGAAGGTTAGGAAGTCCGCGTCGTCCATTTTTTGGTCGACTTCTGAATTTGTTTGGTTTGGAGTACAAAGGAAGTAATTGGAGACGATATTTGGTAATTGCTTGACGAAAGGTAATATTTTGTTTTTCCCTTGGTTAGTAATTGAGAAATCTTGCATATTATATTGCTGAGGATTGAGATTTGTTATCTGTTCTAGGCTGGAATTTACTTCCTGTGGTGTAAGAAGATTAAATAAGTAGGCGGTCTGCGGAATATGGTTAACAACTCCTAACATACAAAATGGAGAAATATAAGGCCTGGATTGCAAGTATTTGGCAAACATTTGGCCATCCAGCTCATTGGAGGATGTAAAAGCGTTAATGTATAGAAATATCATAGAAAACGCGAAAATAAGCTCTTCATGAGTTGCATTTTTGGCATCGTTCAAAGAATCGATAACGTCAAGGAAGGATTTGGTCAGAATTTCTCGGTAGTTCCTTTGATGCGAGAAAATTCTGAATTTACTCATCGGCGCGTGATTTATAATTAAACGCCGCATATATTTCATGATTGCGACCTCGTAAGCAGGGTCTAAGTCAAGTAGTTCGCCATCAAAAGAGAATGTGTTCTCGAATAGCTCTAATCTTGAAGGTAACGCCTGCATTATGAAATTTCTCGGCTGAACGTATGACTTTAATTGTGCAATTCTCTCTTTTATTGGCTTGAAGAATGGATTGAAGACCCATTGTTGGTCGAAAATATCCCAGTTCATGTCGTGTGTTGAGAAATGAACTAAAACTGGAGGAACTCTATTAGCGATGACTCCGAGAAATTGAAATGCATCGTTTAACTTATGTTGGCTAGTTTCATTTTTCGGATTATTCATGTTTATTGTTATCCAACGTCCTAAAAAAGAGAATGTTGGAATTAAAACTGACGGCGGTGCTTGTTTTATCTTCTGAACAATATTGCTTGTATTGCCTTCATCACCACTCAGATAATTGCTCAGTAAAGTTATAAGCCCATTCTTGGGTCCGAGGGTGTGAAGCATTTCTTTATGAGAAAAGTGACAAGATTTTAATATAACTTGCCTGATTCTCTTTTGAGCAAGAAAGAAATGAAACTACTATAAATAAATCTAGGCAATTGGTTTAAATAGTTTATTTGGATTTAATTTAACTAATAGATTATGTCTTTATGGTCAATCGAATTAGAAATGAATTTGTTTTCATAATCTATAATGAATTCATAGCATTTTAATAGATTTTACCACCTAAAAATGAGAGTGACACATAAGAAAATTGTCTAATTCATAGTGAAATGAATCAATAAAAAATTATTAAAGGAAATTTTTAGTTTATTCGAGCATTCTTACATAGTAGTAAAAAGTATGTTAGTTGTTGTGTAAGAGAATATATTTATGAATAGATAAATTATTTGACCATCTTTTCGATGAAGTCCATAACATCCTGAGTGCTGTCATTGTTGACAGAGCATGTACGGAACCAGATCTTGTTTGTGTAAAGCTGGTCGAAGTTGAATTCAGCGTTTTCTTCACCAAGGAACAAGAATTCGGAGTTTCCGCCTTCAACTTGGTCAGACTGCTGACGGTTGTTACGGAGGTAGTCGAATTCCTTTTCAAGTTCCTCGCGAATGACGTCAATTGGACGAGCGGAGTGTAAGTCTGTCTTTGCGCCGAGAATGAGGACTGGAACGCGGTTCTTGATGATTTCTGGCTGAGAGAGAACATCATAGAGAAGGTTTGCGATGTCACTCATCTGAGAAAGAACTGTTTCGCTATCGATAACGAAAATGATGGCCTTGGCATCACGAATTGATGAGAGAACTTGTGTTTTTACACGTGCATGGCCTGGTTCATCGATCAAATTGATAATACGATTCTTTACAATGAGCGAGAAGCGATTTTCTGTTTGTGATGTAACTGTTGGATGAATTCTGTGGGCTGTGAGGTGGTAGAAGAGTTTTGTCTTGCCGGCACCAAGGCAGCCAACGATGTAGACGTTGTTAGGGCGCTTGTCACGCTTGATAAGGACGACAAGGATGATAACGACGATGACAGCAAGAATTGCTGCAACGCCGATAGCTATCATAAGTTGTTGTTGCATTAGAAAAGAGAAAACCTAAAAACTGAAAAAAAAATCCGATTTTGACATAAAAGTGACTGTTCCCAGAATCCGTCAAAGCGAAGAACCCTTGTCAGAAGATTTTGATTTGAAAATATTAATCTTGTGATCATGTCGTTATTGGTTTTTATCTTGTTTTTCCAAAATAATAGGAATCATATTGAGAAAAAAGTGACAATGAATGCTTTATAATGGATTTTTAAGGTATTTTGTTGCTATTTCACTATCTTTTGTGTTTGTAGTAGCAGTAGCATTAGATAGTAGCCCAACAAACTTTCCGTTACCAAAAAATTATGATAATATTGATTGTTTTTCCATTCACGTTGAAAATGTTTCAGCACAAGACAATAGAATACATATTGAAATAGAAACAGATAAACTTAGACAATTTCCGCAAAATGCTGCACCTTTGATGCTTAAAATTGAAACAAAAATTAATAATTTTCATACAACATTTGTACCACCGTTTTGGGACTTAGAACGAAATGAAAGTAGATATTCGTTTAATATCATCCAGAAATCTTCAGGAAATGCAACTGTTTCAATATCATGCCAAAAATATTTACTCGAAACACGCAACGTTTATATAAATTCTGTGACGGTTTTCCAAAACATTGCATCTACAATCATAGCAGAGATAAATAACGCCCTTAAAATCAGCAATGTTTGTATTAAAGATAAAAAGTTTCAATTTATTACAGAATACAACAATTCAGAGTTCTCTTACCATGTATCATCTAATGAAACAGTTGATTTCGAGATTATTACTAAGTCTATTTCAAAAATTACCAATGAAAATCGATTGATTTATCCTTTTTCAAATTTATACGTGCTCTCATCGAACTATGAATCTGCATCAGATGTTTTAATCAATAGTTTACTTCCACTGTACATTCATATACAAAATGAAGGACATAATCCGGTTTATTTGCTAAATCCGAACAAAAATGTAGAAAAGGTTATTAAGAAGATTACCACTTCAGAAGTTATATCATCTATTGATTACAGATGCTCGAATTTTATTAGTTTTATCCCTGCAATTGGAGCTGTTGATTTATTGAATGAATCAAAGCCAAGAACAAGAGAGCAGCACATAGATTTCATCATTAGTAATATTACTGATCCGCAAAAGCTCAGAAATTTATTTAATTCAGAACAAATTATCGACGAAAATTTAATTGTCGATCTATCATTCCGAAACAATAAAGAACCGTCAGTTTCGGATAATTTTGTTAGATTTGATCGAAATTCTGACATTTTAGAAATTATTGAAACTATTTCAAAAGCAAAGACGCTTATTGTAACATATGAGACATATCTGTTTGCTTATTTCATTCCTTCTGGATCAAATTTAGTTGATTTGTCAAATTCACAAATTTGCAAAGAATTTGCAGAAAGAATCAATGTTAATTATCAGACTAGATATATATAAGTTATATAGTATATGAATTCTTTTTAGATATGTTCCTTTTTCCATGAATTAATGAAGATAATTTCTTTATTTATGATATTATTAATCTTTAATTGACTTAACATTGTTTTGTTTATATGTGTGTAAAGTTATAGCATTGCTTATGCTTATTTTTTGAAAAAAATACGCAATTTTTTATCAAATACTAATATTTATGCAATTTGGAAAGCATGATATCATTGCTTTGTTTGTGTTGTGTAGTTCATTCATATATAACATATAAAATAAGCTGAAAACCTTATTTTGATTCTAATAAAATTCGTAATGCGCTTTCTAAGTCAACAGAACGTCTTGGATTCAGTCCATTATTTAAACGATGAGTAATTTTATTGTGATTTCCATGTCAGATCCATTGCTGAAAAAATTGACAATTACGATCCCTAAAAAATTTGTCAAAAATGTAATTTGATTTTAGAAAATTTATAGACAGTTGATGCAATTGCTATGATCAGAATTAAGGTTATTCTTCCAGCCAATAAATTTTCCCCCCTGTAAAAAAAGGTAAGAAAAAGAATAATCTATGAACAAATCGTTTATACATATTAATCTTGATACTGTTGTTCATCCTGATTTCATGAGATTCATAGATATTTTACCCCCTGATGCAAAAACGAGTAAATCCGTTCTAGAAGCAATGGAGAATCAGATTTTAGAAATCAATGCACTTGTTGCTGAACTAGGACGTGAATCTGTAAAATATAGGAATAAGCTATTTAAATTTCACCCGACTGATCTGACAGGAATGCAACCACAAGTTAGATTTGCAATCAGGAAGATGGAAAAGCTCCAAAAGCAACTTGAAAAGTATTCTGAGAACTTTTTCAGAGATTCTGTAGCAAAAATATCGCCGATTGCATGTCTTTTTCAAGAACTTTTCGATAAAAAAACACCAGCCGTCATGGATTTTCATGAATTACGAAGATTTCTTCAAATGTCGCATGACGACAATCCAGTTAATATTATGAAACGTAAAAGAATCCAAATTCTTGATAGTTATGCAAAAAGATTAAGTACAGCTCCAATTTACCCAACAATTCCAGAATTACAAATAGTTGCAGTTGCAAAAGAAGTCTCTTATACAGTTGATCCTGTTACATTGCATAGTTCCCCATGTTTTTTGGATGATTTTATTTATTACTACATTTATACTCATAATAGCATTAAAGATTTCGATGAGCTTGTGCAAACTGTCTCTGTTGATAAGAAATCTATCAATATGAAACCGTTTCAGCCATTTATTAATAGATATGTTGATAGATTCGGTCAACTTGACAAAAACGAAGTAATGGTCATCAGAACATCAGTCGCTAGGTTCTTCTTTGATAGATTCTTCGCTACAAACTCACGGCTTTACATAAATCAGCCCGCAATTGACCAATTTATTGCGAATTGCTCACAAATGTCATCCATGTCTCCCAAAGAGTTGAAAATTGAAGCAAAGTTCATCAGAGATTGCAATTTCGAAAGATCTTTTAAGGAAATCGCAAATACGGATGTCAATTTTCAAGCTGCCCATATTCAGTTACTTTTAGCAGGTTTCTATAGTTACCCATCCGATATTCTACAGTGCATATACGCTGCAATGAAATGCACTGAAGAATACGTCAAAATTGCAAGATTTGAGAAAGAATTCGGAACAGAGAAGCCAATTGACACGACAAGCGAAGAGTTCATCACAGCCAGCAGCGATCTTGCTTTTGACGACTTTTTCCCAATTTTTTCTGCTGTTTTCGCAACTTCCCCTTGTTCAAACGCTCTAGCGATTCAGCGGTTACTTGAGATGATTGAAAAACTTGTCATTCCGACCACTTTTGACTTTGCCAAGGTCATTTTTATGACATGTGTCTCTCATATCAAATCTTTTTCTTCTGAAACTCATTGATTACATCACTGTTACAGATGTATTGATATAAGGTTGTTTGTTATATATCTAAACTGTTTGTTGATTTAATTTTATTTTTATTAACATCGTTATCTATTTGCAAGCAAACATACGGTAAGAACGTAAAGGAATTTTAGTGATTTTTCATAATATTGTGAATATTTGTATCATGAAATTTTTATCACTTTAATATTGTAGCTATCTATATGATAAACTCTATTTTACATGAGAAAAGAGACTGATTATTGATAAAATCGTTCAGTTTTCGTTAAAGAAACTTTTCGATGTTTATTCTCTATCTTTTGTTTCTTAGACTTTCAAGGATGCCATCAGTACAATACAATTTAGAACTCAGTCCAAAAGAAGCTGTTGATACAAATAGGACATCAGTTATCTTTCTTATTATTCCGTTTTTGATATTTTGCTATTTCATATATTTTTCACATAACAAAATATCAGAAATTGCTGAAATTCCCATAGAAGAGAATACTGAAGATCCAGACGAAGAAATTAAACCAGTTCAAATCGAATGATCATATTAATTACAATACATTGGATTCATACTATGATGTGTTATTTCCTTATTAATTTACTGTGAGTAATACGAATTGATTACTGATATTTTGTTACTTCATATCTTAATTGTTAAAAATTTAATTTTGTTTGTTTATTCGACATTAGTATCTATATTTGATCTTTCAAATCGATATAATAAGATCAATTAGGAAAATTTGCTATTCAGAAATCGTGATTGAAGCTAGTTTTATATCAAATAATATAATATTCCAATAGATTGGATATACTACCATATTGAAATATAAATGGAAATTATGGTTATGGGAATTTCAATTACTCTAGACTTAGGGCATCAATGTACAAAAGTGACATTTTTTTTGATGTCATGTCAATAGAATAAATAACAAAACTACAATCTACTGAATACTCATCGGATGGGAAATCCCTTGATTCCGTTAGTACGAAAGACCCTTATATTATCATTTCTGCAAAATGCGAAAAGATTTCTGGATCCAGTCCAACATTAAATGCATTCAAAGATGTAAAAACAACTCTTCTTGGATTCAGCTTCGAATCCGATCCAAATTTAAAGGATATCCAGAACTATGCATTCTATGACTGTAACTATCTCCTTTCTATTGATCTCAGTGCATGCACCAAGTTAGTTTCAATTGGAAACAGTGCCTTCTATGGCTGTAGAAATGTCACATCAATAATTCTTCCTCCATATCTGAACAGCATTTCCAATGCTGCCTTCCAAAGAGTTTCAATTTCATCAATAACCATTCCAAAGTCGGTTTCCTTGTTAGATAACTTTGCTTTTTCGGACAATCTAAAGCTGACTAGCGTTGATATTGACAGTGATTCTCTTTTGACGACGATCAATAAGCATTTCTTTTATGCGACATCTGTTTCGACCTTTAGAGTACCAAAAAGAGTTTCAACATTTTATGGATTGGCTTTTAATGCAGATGTAAAGATGAATTCGATCTCAGCAGATAATGCAAATGCTTATTTATATTCTGATGGACGTGGCCTATACGATGCTAACCAAACTATTTTGTATTATGTTTGCAGTGCCCCCACAACTCCTTATCGGGTTTTGTCAACTGTTGAAATTATTTTTGAAGGTGCTTTTGTAAGTTACCAAGCTCCCACTGTTGAACTTTCTGAAGGTGTAAAAACGATAAATGCATACGGTTTCTTTCGATCACAATTAACATCATTTGTTATGCCAAACTCTGTAGTTTCCTGTGGATCCCAATGTTTCAACCTCTGCCCGAAGTTGCAAACTTGCATTTTATCAACTAATTTAACACTTCTATCTTCTTTAATGTTTCAAATGTCTGCTTTGACAACATTAACTATTCCACCAAGTGTTACTGCTATATATACAGGAGCGTTGGCATATTGTCCGATTTTAGAAAATGTTTATTTCCCTTATCCAATGCCTGATCTGAAGAGTGGTTTTGTTACGAATTCTCCTAAGTTTGTTCCTAAAATGTCAAATAATGCTACGTTGAACATCAATGAAGATAATGTAATGCTCAGTGATGACAATACAACAATTCTTGGATATTTTGGATTCAATGAAACTGTTATTCATTTGCCATCAGAACTAAAAACCATTGGAATTAAAGCATTTATTAATAGAGACTATCTCCAAGAAGTTGTTGTTGAAGGTGTTTGCCATATCGAAAAAATTGAGAATTATGCTTTCCAAGGATGTACCCATCTTACAAAATTCCCAAGTTTTGCAACTATAAAATCGATTGGATATAATGCTTTTGATGGTTGTCAACTTTCTTCAGCAATTTCTTTTTCAAAAGATTTGACATTGATTGATCAATTTGCATTTCGAAGCAACACAAAAATTCCTCAGGTTGAATTCTCTTCCACTGATTCTCTAATAATTTCACTAAATGCTTTTGAAAGCTGTTCTCAATTATCATCTGTTTCTTTCCCTTCTTCTGGAAACATAACACTTCAAGATTATGCTTTCCTTTTATGCGAAAGTCTTAGATCATTAACTATTTCAAGGAGTATCACATCAATTGGACAATCGTGTTTCATGAGTTGTGGCATACAATCAGTTACATTTGAAGGTGATTCTATTTGCAATGGAATAATTCCTGCATTCTGTTTCAAGAACTGCAGCAGTTTAACATCAATCTCTATTCCATCAAACTGCACAATTCTTGATGTTGAATGTTTTGCAATGACAGGAATCACTGGTATCAATATTGTTGATAATGTTGAAGTTTTGTCTCGTCAATGCTTTAAAGATTGTTTGAGTTTGGTTAGTATTAATATTCAGTCCAGTTCGAGATTAGTTACTATTGAGCCATTTGCATTCCAAGGTTGTGTGAAACTTGCAAATGTGAATTCATTTATTTCTTCCAATTACTGCAGCGATAATGGAGCAATATATAACATTGATAGATCTAAGATCATCATATATCCACCAGCAGCAACGAACAAATACTTTGCAGTTGCAGATAGAGTTCGAAATATTGAACCAAGTTGTTTCTTCGGATGCAAGAATCTTGAAGCAATTTTGATTCCAGATAAAAGTGTTGTTAATATTGGTCAAAGTGCTTTTCAAGGATGTACATCATTAAAGCAGATCAACATTCCATTGAGTGTTCAAAAGATTGAACCAGATGCATTCCTTGGCTGTGACAATATAACATGTGGTGTTTCACATGATAACAAAACTACAGAATATAAAGATATGTTAATTCAAGCAGGACTAACTAAGAGTGCCTTAAGAAGTTGTGGTGTTATAACATGTCTAGTGTATGGTAGTTCACACACTCTCTCCTATAGTGTTTTGTTCCCATTTATTCTCATGTAATAAAAAAATTAACTTTTATTCATTTTTAATATTTAACTATTGATTAATGATAGACATTTGAAGCATATCTAGTGTACTGTCATTTGACTTTATATGATAATAAAACTATAGATATGGAATAAAAGCAAAAAATGGCAAAAATTTTGTTGAATAATCCAAAACCAGATAAAATTGACCGGAAATTCTAATTTCCAAAGCTCTAAGAAGCATATATTTGGCATATAAGAAAGATTGCGAAGTGCCCATTTATTTCTATCGTTCCAAATTTTATTTGATTATGGAATATGATGATGAGAAGTGCTTAATTGGATTTTTAAACACATTCCCTGGTATTGCAGAGCTTAATTTACAGACATCTGTTGATCTTTTAATAACAAAAGCTATTCCATTAATTTGGAATCAGATTAGTCCCTCAAAAATAGATATTGATAAGCTTGAAGTACCTAAGAATGATACAGATTGGTTTTCTATTTTCAAAAATCTTCGTGCATACGAGCAAGTTATAGCTCCTGCGATTCAAGACAAAAACATTCGAACAAAACCAGACTTACCATCTCTTTCGCGTAATAGAAATCAAGCATATATAATCAACTATGTCAACCCATTGATATATGTCGCAATGAGATCGGAAATGAAGCCAACAGTCGTTGCAAATATCAAACAATTACCAAAAGAAATTCAAACATATTTAATGAAGTATTTGAAGTGGACACAGCAACAGGAAGCTAACCAGCAGGCTCCAGCACCTGCAGTTTCTTCAGCTCAGTCAACTGCGCCATCTACACCAGAAAAGGCTCCATTAGCTGATAATCAGAAGATAATTGCAGAAAAGCAAGCGAGAATTGCCTTACTAAAATCCGAAATTTCGGCTTCAGAATCAAAATTATCTCAATTAAAGCAACAACTCGCAGATAAGTCATCAAATCAGTCAGAAGACAAGAACTCAGCTATTATAGATAACATTGAAACACTTATTTCTAAAACAGTAAGTGAAAAAGCTCAATTTAAAGAACAATTAAATCAAAAACGCTCAGAACTCGAAGAAACCAAAATTGAACTTGCAAAGATGACAGGAATTGTAGAAGTCTTATCAAAACTACGCAATAAATCAGAAAACAACGAAGTATCTTCCGAAAAACTTACCGAAGACTACAACAAGCTCAAAGAGGCTATTGAGAAGCGCCCAGAGCTATACAAGAATATTGCAGAGTTAAACCTCAATATTAAGGAACAAAAAGCCAAAAATACCAAATTATCTAAATCTCTTGAAAAAATGAAAGAAGAGCTCGAAGTTGCCATCCAGATTGAAAGTAAGTATGATTCAGCATCAAACGCTTCAGCAGAAGAGAAAGAACCGGAAATTGAAGAAAATCCAGACGTAATGGCTTTGTGGAAGGAAGTTAATTCACTTGAAGTGGACTTAGCTTCGGGTGTTACACCTAAAATCATCGAAGAACAGAATAATTTCAAGAAATTTATCACAAAACTCGACAGAAAGAAGAAACGCCTTGAAAAACAGATAGAAGACACTGCAAATATGAGAAATGACCTTCAGCGCGTTCAAGAAGAGTTAATTTTGAGGCATGAAAACGGAGAAAAAATTGTTGACAACTTAACACAAGAAATCAATAAGAAGAATGAAGAAATCACAAAGTGGCTCGCATTGACAACATCTTTCAGGGCTTCTCGTGAAACTTCTTCACTTATTTCTCAGATGCGTCAAAAATATCATTAATTCCTCCTTTATTTCTTATATTATTTGCTTTCTTAGAACCAAATTTTGTAAATTTAACTATTTTAATATCAAAATTCAATTTTTTGTAAAATTTTGTACCAAAATCATGAAATTTTCATTCTTATTCATGATCTAACAACTATAAGCAGCTTGTACTTCTAGCGTAGAGCGGTCCAAATCTTAGAATATATACAAAAATCCAAAAAAATGTAAATCATAAAAAATTATATCAACTTATATAAGATATTCTGATTTATTTCACATACCTATCATGAACAATTACAAATTGACCGCTTTCTGCGATTTCTGATCCAAAAATAATCCATCTGACTTTCTGACACCTAAGAATTTCTTAATAAAAACTCAATCAAGAAGTGCAGGAATGGACATAAATATGATTCTCTGAGGTTTGTTGATCTCATTTTGGAGCATCAGATTTAATGCATTAGGTCCGGCAGGAGATTTGGCACTCTCATCGGAATTGGAAGTCGCTTCTTCCTGATAGCCTAAAACTGGGAGATGGCTTGAATGCTCCTTCTTCATGAGCTGAATATATCTATATCTGCATTGAACATCAGATCTTGAAGACATATTTCTAGCAATTTTTGCCCAAGTATGCGGTTCAAATTCTTGGACAAGCTTTAATAAGTTATCATCTTCTTCTTTTGACCAAGGAATCTTTGCAATTTTTGGATCTAAAGCGCGTCCCCATCTTTGAGAGCATTGAGATCTTGTTCTCCCATTTCCTACAAAATGAGATATTGACTTCCAATCACCCAGTCCATATCTGTGAATTGCAGCTAAAAGTAGTATATCTTCTTCTTGGCGCCAAAGATTGCATTTGCGAATACCTACTTGCTTCTCATTGCAACTAATAACCGGTTTATGATGATCAAATGCATATAAAACTCTGTGAATTAATCGCGCTGGTTCGTCTGTGTTTACTAGCACAAGCAAATTATATGATGCTTCTTCCAGACTGATTTTCCGATTAATTTGATCACAAATTATCTTTTCACAAGATTTAATTGTTTCATCTGACTCTGAACCATTGAATGGAATTAATCCAAATGCAAACATCGCTAAAGGACATGAGTTTCTTGTTGTTGCAGTATAGGAGGACTTCGAACTTCCCATTTATATGTTGAAATGTCTGTTCAGAAAAATTCACAAATCAGATTCTGATTGAAAACTCAAATTAAGTTATATCAAATAACATCGTGTCCGGTTCATTAGTTGATTCGATGACAATACATCATGATTGTGTGATTGTTTCAATAATTCACCTTATTATCGTTACGTTTTGATTGATGTCAAATATTAATTGACCTGTGTCAAAACGGTTTTTGCATTTTATGCCAAATTTAATTTCTAAAATATTACTCATTGAAAGATATGTAAATAAATCAATTTTATTTCAAATTTTTTCAAAAATTTTTCCCACAATTAAAATGAAACAGATATGATAATTTAATGAATTATTGATTAAAAATTTGAAACGCTATTTGAATCATTTTTTGAGAAGTTTTTAAAAACCCTTAAACAGATCACGTTTATGATCATATTTACTGAGAATTGCAAAATGGATGTATGGCCGCTGTTATGATACAATACCAGTTGGAAAATTAAAAAAGGGATCTGAATTACTTTAAAAAATAAATAATTTATTTTTTGAAATTGGAATATTTCGTTTGACAATTGGATGAAAAATAAACCCTGTTTACTTGTCAATTATATAAATGCATGAAGATTGAAATATGATCAAACAAAAATTTTGGTATTTTCAATTATCTTAAAAAATCAGGACTATTACATTCAACGTCATACATCTAGTTGATTTACTACTATTTATGATATAAATACAAATTAGAAAAATTTATTTAAAATTTACCAGAATAATTGAATCACAAGAAATATTGAGAAGAGCTTGGATTATCTGTTCACTATTTTACTGATATGATTCATAAAATTGAAAAATATATTCGCGATTAATTCAAATTCTAGACTAAAATACATGTTATTCCTATTATATTGTATGTTAGATGATTGAATAGAAACAAAATACAAACAAAATTTTATTAAAAAAAAACTCGAAACTAAGAATGCTTTTCTTCTTCATCGTAAACATCATTTTTCTTATATGGTTTGCCTGTTTTTCTCGATTTCTGCCGTTCTTCAATCCCATCAATAACTTCTTTGGCTTGGAGTCTATTTTTAAGAACTCTTTTGCATAAAACTGCATTCTGTTCAATTGAAAGCACAAGATTAGCTTCTTTAGAACAAATTTGTCTCAAATTAGATTGAATATTTTGCATGTGAGCTCTTCTTGCTCGTTCGCTGTTTTCTTTGCAAAGTTTTGCATCAAGGACAAAATCGCGAGAAGTAGATGGACCAGTTTTATTCATCATGATGTTTCTTGTGCTGATTTTTGAATCTGTAGTTTTATTTTTAAAAGACCTTAACTCCAAAGCTCTTGCAAGCAATGGATTGTTGTCGCGAGAAGTAAATAAAATTCGATTAGGGTTGGCTAACTGATTCTGATGATGAATTTCATTTCCAATGATATCATTTAGGATTTGTTGATGAGCATTGAAGTTTGGAAGGCGCTTTGCCCTAAAGAAAATCGGATCTGGAATAAATTCTAAAACTTTTTCATGAAAAGAAGCATCTTCTGGCTTAAATCCTATTAGTAACTCTTGTGTTACTGTTTCTGCTCTTTCAATAAATGCAGAATTTTGGTAAAATGGAGAATCTGGAAATTCCTCTAAAATTATATTGAAAAATAATGCAACTGAAAGAATTGTCCAATTGTAAAAGAACTTGGAAGCTGATTTCCTTTTATCATCAAGTAAAATCATTCGAAATTGGTAGTATTTCAACGCTAATGAGTCAAATACTTTAGATTTCATTTGATCTAGTTCTGGTACAATATGACATGGTTGAAGGAAGTTGTAAAACGTTAACCATATCGTAGATTTTGTTGCAATAAATAATTCTGACGAATAATAAACATTTTTTATATCATTACTCATTGATGCATCGCCGATTAACTTGTCAAGAATTGATTTATATGTCTTTTCGAGGTCAATTTGTAAATTGTAAAAAGTTAAATCTGATTCATCGAAAGATGACTTCAATATTTGTAAAATGATATCAGAATTCTCTGGATCTGCTCGAAATACGATTGAGTTGTCTGCATATGGTGCTAAAATAATATCAATATCTTGAGCATCAATCGATTTAAACATTTTCTAAAAATTTTTGTCAATTTTGATTTTAACGTCCTTTTCTAGGGAAGACTTATCATCAGGAGAAGTAAAAGAATCAGTAATATCTTGTCTTGACAGAGTATGTTGTTGTCATCAATTGCTATGCTGTTAATTCAGCTGAATTGGGAAAAATTAATACAATGTAAGGAAAACGCTGCCTAAAGGCAAATGAAGTTGAACGGTTACTGTGCATTGTCGTTACTTCTTTATGTAGCTTAGGAATAATTTAGATTATTTAAAAAATTTTAAAAAAATTGAAAATAAGTGAATAGTGAAAGATATAAGAAACGTTAATTTGTATATTTATTACTTTGTATTTGATTGCGGAACTATTTAAGCATACATGAATTAACCAAAGGAAATTGTAATTTCGATTTAAGAATCTGTGAAGAATTTTCAACAATTTCTACGATTAGTATATTTTTATGATGACTGATGAGGAAATTTTGAAACCTGTTTGAGTTAAATACTATAAATTAAGCAATTATATAATAAAATTTGAAATTTAAAGCGTTTTCAAGAGGATATGTGATGACATCAAGTAAAGTACTTTGTTTCAAGCTATTGTGAACGTTTTTGAATTCCAAATTTTTTTTCAAAATTGGAAAAATGATAACAAATTCAACAATTCATGAAATGAAATTTTGAAGACATTCTAAAATAATGATCACTTTTTGGCGCCAATTCCAAGATTGGGTTTGTGGGGAAAAGTAGGGGTCTAAAATGACATTTTTCAATTTTTGTCAAAATGCCACTTTAGACCCCATACGAATACAGATCATACGTGGCGGGGTGAAGTGTTAATCATTATTTCATAATGCCAGCTAAGAAGGGTGTTAAGAAGACAGCAACAAAGACAGCCGTTGATGGTGAACGCCAGCATCCAAAGACACGTTCATCCCGTGCCGGTCTTCAGTTCCCTGTCGGCCGTCTTCACAGATTCCTCCGTGAAGGCCGTTATGGTGAGCGTGTCGGTGCAGGTGCTCCAGTCTTCATGGCCGCTGTTCTTGAGTATCTTACTGTCGAAGTTCTCGAACTTGCCGGTAACGCTGCTCGTGATAACAAGAAGACACGTATTTCCCCACGTCACATCATGCTTGCCGTTCGTAACGATGAAGAATTGAACCAGCTCCTCTCCAACATTACAATCGCATCTGCAGGTGTCGTCCCACACATCCACAAGGTCCTCCTCGGCAATCCAAAGAAGGGCAAGGATGCTTCCCAGACACAGGAGTAAATATGTTATTATACACTTTACCGCAATTACACAATATTTTATCTTTTTATTCTTTAATTACAATAGATGAATGAACTTTTAATGAAAATATTGACTGGTCATAGCTTTATGATAGTCATTTAAATTAAGGATCTGCAACATAGACTTGTTTACAAGAATTATTTTTCATTTGAGTCTTGAATATACATAAATAACAATCAAGAATACTAGCCCATAGTTATATATTGAAAGATATACTATTTTACATGATAAATTTGTTGAAAATTTTGATAAATTAAATTGTAATTATGAAAAAACGATGAAATATAATGATAGTAATGGAAAAACAGAATTTATTTAACGAACAAATGAAACAACACTTGAATCGACAAGATCACCTTGTCTAGCGTTGATAACTCTCTCAGATACTTTGCTAAGTATAATTGTAGCAATAGTATGAATCAGAGTAGCTCCGAACAAAATCCAAGAACCTTTCTCAAGCCTTGTAACGACATCAAAGCAAGTTTTGTGTCCTTTTATCAGAGGTTCATCGCTGAAGAACATTTTAACAATAGGATTGATCACATCACACTTATCTCCGACCATGAATGCTGCAAACTGCGAAATCTCTAAAACTGCGGCCAAAATTGAGATGATGAAAACATCCAAGCAGTTCCAAGCGTAGAGGTATTCCGCTGCGATGTAGAAGGCTCTCTGGACCTTCCTCCTCATTGGAACAAAGAAAAGAATGAGTTGTGTGATAATATGCAAAATTGGGACAACAATTGCAACAACGATGTAGAGAGCTTGAGTGAACCTGATTGTGAACTGGTTCGGATTCTCTGCGGCGTGAGGAAGTAGAATTGCGAGGTCAATAACAGAATAAACTTTCTTATGTGGCTTGTCGAGCATATCCAGTGCATAACCAATGAGTCCAACGAAATCAAATGAGAAGGAGTCAACACTGATGCCGTAAGAAACAAGGCCAAGTGCAATAACTAACAAAACTCCGATAATTATAGAGAGAGACCTGAATTCTGAGAACTGGATGACAGAGATCCTCTTCTTTGCGTCCTCTCCTTCATCGGAATATCCTGGATTGTCAGCGTATCTTGCGATTGCAAGCAAAATGTGGGACAAAGCCAAAGAAAAGACAGTACTGAGCATGAGAGTGAGGAATCCGTAGGCTGGATATACCCAAAGATGGACTGAAACAGGGGCATCGATCATTCCTGAAATGATTGGGAAGTATACGTCGAAATTAAATGCGATAAGCATCAGAATCATGACGAAAGAGTCGACAAGGGACCATTTACCAAGAGCATCGAGTACTTTCAGCCATGTTTCGCGTCTCTTCGCGTTCATTATCGGTCCAGGCAAAATCCAGACAGTTAACATCATAATTAGCTTTGTGTAAGGCCATGCGCAGGACATAACTGCAATGAGGATTGAGAGCGCGTATGTTTTGGCCTTCCACATATCTCTGATTGAGTTAATGAGGCCGAAGTCCATGATTGAAGGGAAAGCGACATGTTTATCACCCATGAATATCTTTGCGAAGACACTCGCACCAATACCAGTGTTGGATGATATGAAAACAGCGATATTAATCAAAATCAATAATGGCATGAAAATTCTAGTGAAAATAGACAGTCTGGGCGTCATCAGCATCGATGCCTCAGAGTCAGTTCGCCAGAATTTCTCCCAAATTGTTTTGTGTACTTGTGTCGGCAACTCGATATTTCTCAGATTCAATGGTTTGTTGAGTGATTGCATGCTCTCTATCATTGGGTATGTCAGACTGTCGATGGAGCGGTCGTCTTTCTTCCTCTCCTTCGGCATAATGAAGAAGATAATGAAGATCAAGAGAAGTGAACCTCCGCCGGCAACAGCAGTGGTCCAGAGAGTGAAATCTTCGTACTGCGAGTCATGTACATTCTCGCAAGTAGCGTTTGCAAGCTGTTGGTCGAGTAATTCGTTCAATTTCACTGTTCCGAAGTTATTTACAAATCCGGTAACAAAAGTAGGAATAATTGGTCGGTAGTTATCGATAAAGAACTTTACAATGGAATTTACGAATTCTCTTATTTTCATCTCCATTTCGTGGGTTTGAGCTTCCAAAGAGAGATGAGTGATGGATGTATTGAAGAGAAGATAAGTAATACCTGTTCCTTCAGAAGAAACAAGTGTTTCTAGACACTGCAAATCCATTGATTGAGCATTAGTGAAATTGACACCTGCTCCTTCAGGAGAAGCCGCTTGTAGTTTCAAGTCCATCTTGTTATTTGATAAAGCGATGTCGAAATCGGCTGTTTCTGACAAATAAGCGTCTCCTGTCGTAATCATTGAACCGTTTGAGCTAACGTTGACTTGGAACGTGAGATTGAATCCGAATTCCTTCATTCCTGTGTGTGTATCTAAAATGTAAGGTCCAATTGGGTCAAAAATTGTGAAATCATCCCAAGTGTTTAGACCAGAGAGGTGTAGATCGATGATTGAGAGGTTGATTCTGGCCTTTAAATCGTCGATTGGAACTGAGAAGAAGAGAGGTTGAGAGTAATTGAAGTAAGCAAGGATGGATTGAAGATCAGCGAGGCCTGTTCCGTTGGTAAATCTGTTGAAGAGACTGTTGAGGTTCAATGGGCCATTCGTTCCTGTGAAATTTGACAAAATGAACCTGGCAACGTCAATAAGATCGGATTTTCTGAGATCGGTCATATTTGGTCCGATTGGGATATCGATGGGCTTTGTGTAGTTTAAGTATGGTCTGATGATATCGTTTGCCTGTTGGAATCCGCTTGTAATTTCATCGCCAAGAAGATCTTGTAGGTTGTTGCATACCATGGGACCAACGTTGTTCTTGATGATACTGACAATGAGGCCCTTGAGAAGGTTAATAAGCCAATCTAAGAAGGCACTTGTTGTAATATGTAAAACAGGATCATCGATTCTATCGATTGATGCACCACATGTGCCTTCAACAACGTTTACCTTCTTGATTAATCCGTTTTCGTCTTTTTCGAAGTGGAGGGTAACTGAAAACTGTACTCCGGAGGCAGTAGCTGAAAAACTACCTGATTGATCAAAGGAGTGGGTTGGGCAGTTTGATAAAGTCTAAGGTTACCGCCAATAGCAACATTTGCTTTAAGATATAAAGTAAGTCCATCTTCTATTTTATCTGGATTAGGATAATATGTTGATTTGATATCAAGAAGATCCATATTATGAATTGATAGATTTCTAAGTGTGAGGTTATAATATAAAAATCCAGCTGAAGTAGTAGTTTCATAGTAATCTATTTGTAATGTTCAGTTTGTTCATCCAGCACTTGAAGTCACATGCATAGGGCTCTTCTAATAGAAGTTGTCTTCTGCAAGAGGCAAAGACTAGAAGGTTGAAAACGAACATCTGAATTTTTTCTGAAAAAGAAAGTCCAATGATGCAATTTTGGATAATCAACTTCATTCAATTTTTTACAATTTAATTCCATTAATGAACAAATAACATTTTTTCTCCGGTTCTTCTAGTAGAATATTTTTGTTTGAAAAATTTGAAAACTCACTATCAATTTGTTCTTACAAATAACCTTAATAATTTTATTTTTCTGAGAGATGAAGACCATCAATCAAAGAATGCTAAATTATGGATGAAAAAATGAAATAATCAAAAGATTGTTCATTATTTAAGATTTTGATAATATTTCTTTTGCAAAATTCGGGTTATTTTGATCAGGATCAGGATGCTTACTAAACAATTGGTAGGTTTTATATTATTAAAGCCGAACCAAGAATATTTGTGTTCTATTGATTGGATATGATTCTAAATTCCATTTCTACTTTGTTCGGCATCTCGTGTTCATTCGAATACTAAAGGACTTATAAATATATAATGTTTTATATATAATAACTTATTAAAATGTCTTTATTTATTAATCAAATCAAAACAATGGCGTAAGTAATAAAAACATTAGAAAATTAATAGGTATCATAAACACGAAAGTTCAAAAGTTTACGAATTTGTTCATAAAATATGAATAATAACTTATTGTAAATGAATATTTGCCTGAAATATGAATGAGCAATATATAACTATGGAGAACAAAAATTTAGTAGTGATAGACCTTGAAAGTTCTCGTGTTGCATCTAGTATTTGCATTCAGATTTGAAAATGAAAATTCCATCGCCGTATTTTGCGTCCAATCTAATAAACGTTACGTAAAACACACATCTAGCCTAAATATAAGTTGAGACGGCGATGATATAAAGAAGGAGAAAAAATACACGTTTTTTATAAAATTCGCTGATCAAGTGTGAGGTGATCACTTTACTTGAGATGATCAAGACAGCTTTCCAGGGCACACCAGTTTCTCTTGCTGGCCAATTCGTCAAGGTCGGCGCTAAGGCTCCAGCCTTCAAGCTCACAAAGGGCGATCTTTCCTCTTTCACAGAGAAGGATATCAACGGCAAGTATGCAGTCCTCAACATCTTCCCATCCATGGATACAGGTGTTTGCGCTGCTTCCGTCCGCAAGTTCAACAAGCTCGCCGCTTCCCTTCCAAACGCAGTTGTCCTTTGCATCTCCAAGGATCTTCCATTCGCTCAGGGCCGCTTCTGCGCTGCTGAAGGCATCAAGAACGTAGTCCCACTTTCCGACTACAAGTACACATCCAAGTTCGCTGAGAATTATGGTGTCCTTATGGCCGACGGTCCACTCGAGGGTCTTCTTGCCCGCTCTGTTGTCGTTGTTAACCCACAGGGCAAGGTCATCTACAGAGAAATGGTTCCAGAAATCGTTCACGAACCAAACTACGATGCTGCCATCGCTGCTATTAAGAACGAATAAATCAATTAGCTTCACTAGGATGCGAATTTGATAATTATTCCTTTTTTAAGCTTTTTTTGTCTGACCCAATTTAAATTTATTTCATGAGATTTATCGGTCTTGACTCGTGAGTTTGAATCAAGATCATGTAAATAATGACACAGTAAGAAAGAATTTATAACAAGAATCTCGTGATCATTTGATTTGAAAAGATTTCGACAAAAACTCGGATAATTTGAAAATAATTCATTTTCCATGAGTATCTATATCTAATGAAATTATTCATAAACTTTGCTTGAAAAATTCAAAACCAATTATTTTTTTGAAAGGCAAATTATTTCAATTTTTATTTTACGTGTCAAATCGAGTAAGAATCTGACACGTCCTGAAAAATAGTCAGTTTCTCGAACTAGGGGAAAATATCACGTTCTGAAACATGCTTCCTTTCCCATATCAGAAGTGGGCAAACCCATTTGAGTTAATACGGGATGGGAGCTTTGAAGCATGGAAACGAATTCGTGATGAAATGCTGCGCAAATTGGGGCAGCATTTTCTAACTCTGTCGGAATCACAGTTATCCACAATATTCAGCGAGTGGGAAGGTGGTCTCCATCTAAGGAAGCAGAGTGAAAATAATGTGAACCAATTATCATGCTTACTCGTGATATCCCTTCTTTACTACTTTAGAAGATCATTTGAACATCTCAAGACATACTACCCAATTGTCAAAACTCTCCAATCGAGTCTGGATAGAAATATTACAAAGGCAGCCTCTGAAGTTATGAAATTAATTGGCAAAATTTCAGCAGATAACCAGACGTTTTTAAAAGAATCACTCGAACAGGCCAAAATTTTCCTATCGGTTAAACAGAGAAATACATATTCATACAATGCCTTATTACTTCTCAAAATAATTGGAAAATTTTTACCAACAGATTTTTTCAATGTTACGTCATATCACATTCCGGAAATATGGAATGCTCTTTGTTCAGGTGATCCAGATTTCCGACACAATGCCGTAAAAGTTATGACCAGGCATTTTTCATTATTAGACACAACTACGACCTTTTCTTTCGGAAAATCAGTTTACTTGGATTCCATAGAAACGTTTAATTCAGGTATCCTTAATCCATCTGGAATCCTAGAGATTTTAGAAGTAATTTTCAAACTTGCTCCAACAATTGTCCAAATACCACAACTCTTCAATACAATAATTTCGGCAGCAAGCCACAATATTGAGTTCATTATCCCTTCAATTCCTTTATTTTGTCAAATCATCGAAATATCTCCAAATGCATTGCCTTCAAACCATATCCAGTCATTTATTCTTCATGCTATATCCCTTCTCGAGCAGCCAAACTTCAAAAGAGCACATTTAGACAATATTATGAAATTAATAAAAATAACAAGCAAAGAAATGATTCCTACCCATGAAATAATTCTTCAGTGTAGGAAAGTACTACAAAATCACTCCATTTTGGAGAACCATTCCTATGTTTTTGAGTTATTTTATTTCTTATTGGATGTAGTTCCCGAAATACAGATTCCTACTACTCTCACCACACAGGCACATCCTTCTCAGTGGCTAATAAAGGTCACAGCTCGAGTTTTTCCCACAGTTTACGATATGAAACAGAGACTTCTCGAATGGTACGAGATAGGCATCTCAAAGACAGCTTCCAACAAAGAACTGACCATCGCATTGCAGATTGTCAAGGAATTCAAGGTCCAATTCTTTGAAAACCAACCGAATATTTTGGATAATCTCAGACACGTGATATTTAACCAGAATGAAGCCATAAGAATGCTTTTTGCAGATACTCTGACAATGTTCCAGACTCCAAAAGGCATTTCCCTGTTAATTAGAATAGCTGTTTTTGATTCAAGTGAAAAAGTGAGATTATATTCATTAAAACTTCTTTCTGGAATAGATGCAGACATAAACTCTGATTCCCTGGTTAATTTGCTCGCTGATCCTTCTTATTCAGTGAGAATTGCCGCAATTCCGATAATTGCAAAAGCATTTACCATAAATCCACTCACATTTTACTCTGTGATCCACAATTTCATCACCAGTTTCGTTGAATCGACAATACACGAGCACGACATGCAGAAATTGTCCATTGCTTGTTCAATTTTGCCATCTATTGCCAAGAATTTCGTAAAACTCGTTCCGTCATGCATAAAAGACATAATATGGCTCTGCGTAATCCTCCTTCTTAACGGTTCTCCGTTTCCTTCAGCGTACGGCGAAATTGGCTCCGAATCTTTCGTTCATCCTTCGAATTTCGCTGCGGAAGACATCAGAACGAACCTCAGACACGACATGCTTAATAATTATTCGGTCGGATTCTTGACTTTGGACTCTTTTTCAGAAAAAGACGTGATTTTGAGAAGATTATTCACAATAGAAAGCGAAAACTGGTCAGAACTAAGAGATGCATCAATATTTGAGACGTTGAAAGCTATATCAATGTACACTGTCCCTTATACTTTGCAAATTGTTCCATTATTTATAAATACTTTCAAAGCAAAGCATAAAGATGAAGTTTACTTAGCAGCAATTGACAGTTTAATTGATATAACATTAGCGTTCAACGCAAAAGTCAACTTTTTCAACTATTTCCCTGATTTTCTGAATATTTTAATGAAATTACTGTCAGAATCAACATCAGACAAGGTTGCAATCTCAATATTGAAGCTCATAGGTACAATTGGACCATCAGGAAAGCGAATTTTGAACCAGAATTTGGATTCAAATGCAGATGACAAAAATAAACTGTCATTTAAGCAGCAAAACTTCTTCACAAAAATCGCATTTGACCTCCTGATGCCTCTCCTTAAGCAACCGAGCCCTTCCACGATAATTTCTGTTACGAGAATTGTAATTGAAGATCCAGAGACAGTACTTCCGAACCTCGGACAAATCATAGCTGCCTTTGTACAGTCATTTAAGATTACCGATGATCCGTCATCTCTTTTTAATTTGATAGATAACATTGCATTCCACACGAAAAACCACATGCTTCCATATATTGACCAGCTGATGCCTTTGTTCTTATACCATATACACGATATCAACTGCTTATCTGTCATTGCGACGTTAAGTTGCAGTATTGGATACGAATTTACACAATACGCTTCAGTTCTGTATCCACACGCGATAAGAATGATCACTACAAGGGATTTGAATTATTTAAAGGTACTTATGACCTTCCTTGTCGCTTCGATTGTCTACCAAAGACAATCTGCTTCAGTTTTATTTGATTTCATCGAACAAAGGATCGCTCTCAGGAAAGATAATGATGACAACTTCATTCTCGTCATCATGAACAAGCTCTGCACCCTTCTACAATCAAGAGTTGTCAATTTAGAAGGTTCTAGAATACTAAACATCGCTTTTTCACTGGCGCAAAATGGAAAAAGAAAGTTGGTCGATGAATTACTCATTAATTTGTGTTTGTTTGCCAATATCGGACTGCAAGAAGTCAGAGATTTCATGGATTTCTGCGATATTCAGTTTCCTAAGTTCATAGAATTCTTCGGATCGAACAAAGATAGAAGACCAACACTATCTCCAAAGGAAAGAGCTATTAAAATCAACAAACCGTCGATGAATAACATATTATTAGGAGAATACAAAGAAGACTGTTTATTAGAAACGCCAGAACCAGTATTCAACCAACAAAGGAAATGGCTGGATGATATGAGTAGTCTTTTGATCTCAAATTGCCCTTCATTTGCAATTAGAGGTAGTTTAAACGTTGCTTTACAGTACAGAAGCTTTAGAAACGATATATTTCCTTATGCGTTCTTAAGCTGCTGGCTCAACAGCTCTAAACAAGGTAAATCAAAAATTGCCAAAACAATTTTAACGGCGACAACAATTTACAAAGACTTAGAGCCAATAATATTCGATTTACTTGGTACTCTCACTCTTGTTGGCGACAAAATCGATATTCCTGACGATGTTTTATCAGAAGCAAGCCAATCAACACCTTTATCATTATTCTACATGCAGAGACACTTCAGAACTCACGAGAACGACAAGAAAGTCATAGAGAAAATGCTCTCAATCTACGTGAGAATGAGAATGTCCGATTCTGCAAGAGGCCTATTATGTAGAAAAGGTGACAACATAGGAAAGGAAAGTGAAGCAAAATGGTCTGAACAGTTAGGCGAATATGAAAAAGCATTAGAATACTATCAGATCGCTCAACAGAAGAATATTACGGGCCAAATCAGAATTTACTCAAAATTAGAACAATGGGATACAATTCGGAACCTATCTGATGTATTTCCTAACCTAAGAGCCTCCGAAAAGAAGAATTCTGCGATTTATTTCGCACAATCTTTCTTTTATTCTGGAGATTTCAAGAAAGTTGCCCAATACATCGACTATTTCAAGAACGAAGATGATTTTGCATCCATCCATTTCAAATCCGTGTTCTATATCTCAATAGGGAACTTCGAATGCGCTGAAAAAGAAATCGAAATCGGATTTAACAAACTAGTCGAAAGCCGATCGATTTATTCCGGCAACGACACGAACCTTGCCATGCAACACATCGAATTCGCTCACCAGCTCGTGGAACTCCAAGAAACTCTCGAGCTCAAAAAAGGGGGAGCGAAAAATGTCCCCGAAATTTGGCAGAACAGATTAGTTGCCTTCTCGGAAGAGTCAGACGCATGGCTCAGCCTCATCAAGACACGTTCACTCGTTGTATCTCCAGCAGACCACATAAAAACATGCATAAAGATGCTGAGTGTCCTCAGAAAAGAACATAAATTCAGAGCAATTGATTCTTATGTACAACGATTAAATTCAATTCAATTTCATACAGAGTTCATAATCAATTCACTTAAAGTATTATGGGCGAGAGGTGAAAGAACAAAAGCCATTGACAACGTTGTCTTCCTTACGAAACTAATAACAATAAGCGACGAAAAGGAATTTGACGAAATTTTCAGTTCAAACCTCCAAAAATATGACACAGTTTACAAATTTTTGTCACCTTTTTTGGAAGGAACTTCAGCCAAAACATTTGATAACTACAAGAAGTATCTTCAGAACAACAACGTCGATGACATCATGAGAGCCAGGATAATCAGAATTGCTGCGACATGGCAATACAATCTCTACAAAGCGAACACTTCATCTGTTGCCTCTCTTTCGAACATTTTGCAGAGTTTCCAGCTGAGCAACAAACTGAATGACAAAGACTACAGGACATGGGCGGGAATGGCCTATGCAACATCACGCGCATTGAGTCATTCAGAAGAAAAAGTCCCTGAATACGCAGTTGACGCAATCAGTGGATTTTTGGAGGCAACGAAACTGAATACTTCGTTTTCTCTTGAATACCTTTGTCTTATGTTCTCCATTTTGTTCAGATACGGTGAGCACATCAAACTGCCTGAGAAATTGGAGGAAAGAATCATAAATTTGCCTCCAATCATCGTTATCCAGATAATTCCTCAAATTGTCGCCCATCTGACACACAAAGAAGAATCAATCAGAAGAATTGTTACTTCAATCATCACGAAATTTGCTGCTGACCACTTCGAAGCAGTTGTTTTCTCATTGAACATTTTGACGCACACAAAAGATGAATCAAAGGCAAAACTGGTAAAAGATGTTCTGAATTCTATTGGTTCACTTCACCCGACCATTTATAATGATACTAAATTGTTTATTACTGGAATGAGGAGTGCAGCAGTTTCTCTAGCAGAAGTCATTATTTCCATGATAAACAGAGCGACACGATGCAAGAATCCAATGGAATACATTACAATTGTCAGTGAAATATTGAAAATCAGTCAAAATCCTGAGTGCGAACACGACAGATTTGTCATGAGAATGGTCAACTCTTCGTTGCAGAGAGTTGCACAGTCCTACAAACAAGTAAACAGCGGTGACAACCAGGCATCAAGAATGCTAGTTGATAATTTGTACAGTTTGTATCAGGACCTTGAAAATTCTCTCAAAAAATTGGATACAATTTCACTGTCAAAATTTTCAGAAAATTTGGCAGGAAAACGTCACTTTTCATTAGTTGTTCCCGGCCAATATTTTGTAGATAAAGATGGTCCAAAGATACATTACATCGATCCAACACTCCATGTTCTAAATACAGCGCAACATCCTAGATCAACACATTTAGTTGATGAAACAGGGAAGAAGTGGAAATTCCTTTTGAAAGGAAACGAAGATTTGAGATTGGATCAGCGAATCATGCAGTTCTTTTCACTCCTTAATTCACTAATCAAAACGAACAGATTGACGAGTGATTTAGGAGTGACAATTGAACAGTACGCGATCATTCCTTTCGCTCCTGACGCAGGATTAGTTACATGGGTAACTGGCGCAGACACTTTGTTGCAACTCGTCTACGATTTCAGGAATGAAAGAGGAATAAATCCACTTCTGGAGCAGATTGTCTGCAAAGAATTCACTGAAGCTCAGTACACATACTTGAATAACTTGCAGAGATTGGAAATCTGCAAAGACATATTCAAGATATCCCCAGCAAATGAACTGAGAGAAACAATTTGGTTGAGATCTTCGTCATCGCAAGCATGGGTTGCTCATACGAGAAGTTACACGTTGAGCACAAGTTTGATGTCGATTGCTGGCTTTGTCATTGGATTGGGCGATAGACATCCAAGCAATATAATGATACAGAGACATACAGGAAAAGTTGTTCATATCGATTTCGGAGACAGTTTCGATTCGACGGTTTTGAGGAAGAAATTCCCTGAATACGTTCCTTTCAGACTCACAAGAATGATTGTCAACGCTTTGGACGGTGAATCTGTTGAAGGTTTGTTTAGGAAATCTTGCGAAGACATTCTCTGGGTGTTGAGAGATAACTTGTCACCAATTGTTGCACAGCTGGAGATATTCGTTCACGAGCCAATTTTCTCCAATAAAACAAATAGTGACGGAGGTGCTGTTCAACATAATATTCTGTCTAGAGTTGCTGCAAAATTGAGCGGATTGCACGAAAGTCCGACTGGACACGAGATGAAGACTGGAGAACAGGTTGACTTGCTGATCAGTAAGGCAATTGATCCGGTTTTGTATTCAAGACATTACATTGGATGGTGTCCTTTCTGGTAATTTTGTTTGAATATTTTTTTTGTTTTTTATATATTATATAAATTTTTTTTAATATTTAACTATAACTGTCTATTTTTTTTCTCCATATGACCAGTTATCAGTTTAGGATGCACCTTATCACTCTCAGACATTCTCTCAATTTTTTTAGATACCAAAGCTTTATATCCTAATTTTTTATGATTAAAAGTTAATATTTTTCATCAGGAAAAAGCTAGGGTGGCAGGAAACCCCCATAGCATCTCATTACCTAATTGGGTTATCTCGAATCTGATACTATATTTAGAAAATACGTCAATAATAGCCTATTATATTTTTAATCATGAGTCTCCAATCCTTGATTTGAGCGAGTTATTAAAGTTCTTTTCGCCATATATTTTGAAGAAAAAGTGTCACCTTTTCTTATGATGATTTGAAATCTAGCTGTGCTTTATGTGATCACAATCAATCCAACTTTGTATGATAAAAAAGAAAATATAAGAGTTTATTTAATATGTTATATAGCAAACATATTGTTATTTCTTGTGGTTGATGTAAACTATTTTGTTTAAAACGTCATAAAATGTCATTTTTTGAGTGCGGGGATAATTGATAAAATAAAGTTTTCAGAATTACTGATAATTATTAATAAAAAACCTATCAAAGAATTATGAAATACATAACTTTTTATTATTATGTTTTAACTCATTTGGTTGTTACAACCATTGGTTATGGCGATGAGCGAATCGTAATTCGAAGTGAACTTTTTTGTCAAAATTACCCGAATAAACTTGGATGCTAAAAAATATCTGAATAGATGAGATAGAACAAAATCTAATACAGAATTATTTATGTTATCAATCATCTTTTATATCATACTTATTAAATATCCAGAAGAATATCCCAATAACAAACTGAGATTCAAATATGGTTTTCAGATTCAATTTTTTTGACAAAATTAATTTTTTTCGTTCCTGAAGATACAAATTCCATCTTTTCGATCTCATTCAAATCTTTTAATCAAAGTTACACAACTATAAGTTACCTAATTTAACAAAGGTTTATAAATATGAAACCAGAATGTAGCTATCTCCTTATGATCCCTAGATGCTACGGGGGTTTCCTGCCACCCTATATTATAAATCACAATCCAGTACCTCATATGACAGCTATACTTTTTTTTGCTATTAAAATAAAGATATATTGATGCTATGAGCATGTCCAAAATATTTTTCAAAATAAATTTGACTTTTGATAAAAGATATTTATTTTCTTACATATTTTAAAGAGTAATATTTAAGAATTGGACTTGATAAGCTTGGACCACAAGCATCATATTAAGCGCAGTTGCATTTTAAATGATAAAAACATTATTCAAAAATTGTTTTGCTATTGGTGAACATTAATAAGAATTAATCTCGTTCAGTTTATTTATAATTGCACCTCGTGAAACAAGTAGGTCTGATATCTCTTTGTAATGATGCATATCTGCGTAATCAAGAGCAGTCTTTTTATAAAAATCTTCCACATTGATATCAATTCCATTTAAAATAAGAATCTCTGAAATTTCTTTTCTATTATTTTTTGATGCTATATGGAGGGCTGTCTTCCCATACTTTTGTTGTGCATTTATGTCAACACCATGTGTTATTAAAAATTCTACCATTTCTTTACTATTATATAATACAGCCATATGAAGGGCAGTATTACCACCAAGATCCATTTTGTTGATATCTATTCCATTCAAAATCAATGTTTCTGCGGCATCTTTACTATTACCAATAGCTGCAAAATGAAGAGCATTTCTCCCTGTGCTTTTTTCTGTTGCATTTATATTTGCATCATGAGTTATAAGAAATTCAATTATTTCCTTGTGATTATTCTCTGCAGCATAATAAAGTGCGGTTTTCCCATCATAATCTATTGAATTCACATCAGCCCCATGAGAAATAAAAAGTTCAACTAATTCTTTATAACCATTCTCTGCTGCTATATGAAGAGGAGTTTTCATTCTTCTCTGTTCTTGCCACTTTGGATAGGAAGCACGTGAAAGAGCACATTCACAAAGTGATGGACTGTTGTACTGCAATGCAATCAGTAGAATATCATTTGGCAGCGGATCTATTATTTGATCCAAATAAATTAAAATTGCTTGAAAGTTGTTGAATTCAGAACAGTATCTAATATCAATATATAGGTCATAATTATCCATCAGAAAACAAACAAAATCAATGTTATGTGAAGCAATTGCATATTTCATGCATATTTGATCTGGAGCTTGATATTTCAAGCATTCGTTCATAATATCTGGATTTCCACCCAAAAATGAAAATTGAAAACATCGCTGGGAGATTTCTGAGTTAAATTTTGATCGTAATATCTTAAAACAGTTCACAGAACCATGATAACAACAAATTTCAAGTAATGATAAATCTTTTTCTGGATCTGGATAAAAATAACTTTTTAATGTTTGGTTGACATCAAATCCATCTCTTTCTGTAAATTTAATGAATGAATTTATATCATCATTCATGATTGCTTTGTAAATTGTATCCTTTTCATGAACATCTATTGTATAATTTTGAGAAACAAAATAATTTTTAGGATCAACAGGGAAAATATAGTCATATTCCTTATGAAGAACGTAATCAAAAAGAGATGATTTGAATGAAAAGCCTTTTGGATGATATTTGTCGTATATTTTTCTAAATAACTCTAAATATGATCTAAAATGACGATTATTATACACAGACGCGATTTTTATATCTTCTAGAATATTACACAGCTTCATTTTTTTCGTTTTGATTATTTTTGTTTTGATTTCTTTGTAAATCTTGTTTATTTCTTTGTCATCCACTGCCCTAAGTCTGTATATTGCAGAGATAGTCTCAATGTAGTCACGATTCAATTCAATTAGTAATTTGCAATTAAAATCATTCATGAAAACTGAAATAAAAAAATTAAAAAAACATTTTGAGTTTCCGAACTTCTAGTAAAATCTTTTATTTTGAGTGAAATGCAATAAAAATTTAGATTCTGCAACAGCCACTATCTTCATTTGCTTTATCTTCATGTTTCTTCTCAGGAGCTGCTGCTGGCTTTTCTGGCTCTGCAGGTTTTACAGGCTCTTCTGGCTTTGCTGGTGGCAAAGAGCCTAGATTACTTAAGTATTTTCTTAATGCAGTTTCAAAAAGCTCTTTTATATTAGTATTGGCAAGCGCAGAAGTTTCGAAGAAAAGGGCATCGTTTTCTTCAGCAAATTTCTTAACAACTTCAGTATCTTATTTCTGTTGGAGCCGAGAAAGATACATATAATAACCACAAAATTACTCCACTCATTTGTGCATCATATTATGGCTATCTTGACATTGTTAAATATCTAATCTCTGTTGGAGCCGAAGTTAATACAGGAAATAATCCTGATAATACTCCACTCCTCTTAGCATCACTTAATGGTCATCTTGAAATAGTTCAATATCTTATTTCTGTTGGAGCTTATGTAAATGCATCAAATTGTTTTCATACCTCCCCACTCCTCTTATCATCACTTAATGGTCATCTTGAAGTTGTTAAATATCTTATTTCTGTTGGAGCAAATGAAGACATGATGGATGATGATAGATTTTCTCCACTAATTATGGCATCACGACATGGTCATCTTGAAGTTGTTAAATATCTTATTTCTGTTGGTGCTGATATGGAAGCACAGAATCTTGATGGATATTCTCCACTAATTATAGCATCACGATATGGTCATCTTGAAGTTGTTAAATATCTTATTTCTGCTGGTGCAGATAAAGAAGCAAAGGATATTTATGGAGCTACTCCGCTCATTAAAGCATCAAAAAACGGTCATCTTGAAGTTGTTAAATATCTTATTTCTGTTAGTGCAGATAAAGAAGCAAAGGATGTTGGTGGAAATACTCCACTCTTCTATGCATCATATTATGGTCAACTTGAAGTTGTTAAATATCTTATTTCTGTTGGTGCTGATATAGAAGCAAAGGATGAAAATGGAAATACTGCATTCATATTAGCATCAGAATCTGGTCATCTTGAAGTTGTTAAATATTTAATCTCTGTTGGAGTTGATGAAAAAGCAAAGAATAATGACGGCGATTCTGCACTCTCCCTTGCAAGTGATGATGTTCGTGATTATTTGATATCTATTGGAGCATAAAATCATGATCACATGTGAATAAATGTATAAAATGTTAATTACATCTGGGAAACACACACAATCATTTTTTTCTCAAAAAATAGACAATATAAGATTTTACTAGAAGTTTTGTTTTCTTTGTAAGTTGCAAAATCTAATGCAATATTTTTCCTTGTTCTATTTTAGATTTTAGAAGATAATTTTAAAGAAATGGAATGATCATTTTTTATTTTTATCATTTTGACTAAATTTTATGTACAGGATTCTGTATTATTCTTATAAACATAAGAATGCATTATTTCTTTCAGTCTTAATTTCTTAATATCTATAGTTTTATTATCATATAAAGTCAAATGACAGTACACTAGATATGCTTCAAATTTCTATCATTAATCAATAGTTAAATATTAAAAATGAATAAAAGTTAAATTTTTTATTACATGAGAATAAATGGGAATAAAACACTATAGGAGAGAGTGTGAGAACTACCATACACTAGACATGTTATAACACCACAATTTCTTAAGGCACTCTTAGTTAGACCTGCTTGAATTAACATAGAGTACCCGAAAAAAGTTGTAGACGCTGAAATAAGTTGTATACGGGGAATTTCTTAATGCAAAATTGTTGGAAACAACACAAAGGATCATATCGCATGCTAAATTCATGTTTTAGCAAAAAGCATCCAATATCAAATTACGATTTGATAGAAATTTATTTAAATAATAATAAAACTGGTTTGTTTAATTAATTTAACTAATAATTAAGCTTTATTCATTATACATACTCGTTTTAAATTGGAATAAAATTTATAAATTTAATTTTTGACCTTCTATAGGTAGAATTGTATCATCTTCCTGTGTATCTATCTTCAATGTGTATTTTATTCCTTGAGCAAAGGCTTCATTCAGTTTTTAATCTTTGTAAAGATTGCATTTGCACAAATGGTATAGGATACGTAATTATACAATAATCGCCTATACAACAACTTTTGATTCATTTACATCAGGATTGGAAGACTGAATTGTAGAGGTCTTGGAATCTTGTGAAATGAGCTAAAGAATCCTATAATTCAGTGCACTAAGCTTAAACATCATTGTCAATGAAGTAACCTAGAGTTAGTTATAATGATGCTGGTAATCAACCACAGAACTAGGCACAGATGAAAAATGAAAAAAATTTAAACGAAAACATAAATTTTAAACGGCAATTGTATACATTTCCTTTTTTTTCTACTTGCAAACATAATGATGATTACTAACAAAATAAATTTTCTTATTTTCAACAACTTATGTTTTGATTAAAATTTTACAAATTAAATGGAATATTGATTAAATTAATAACTTAAAATTGGTCTATGTACACAATAATTTAATTTATTATAATTGTTTAGTCTAAAATAGTTATTCATTGTTAAGATTGAATCGATATCACGCGGAATTGGGTCAGATGCCATTATAACAAATTAGCATGTTCTATTCCATATATGCAATATATTCTCCCATAGAATTCCATATCTAAACTGTCTGTATGAAGATGTATACAACTTTTTTCACCGTATACAACTTTTTTCACCGTATACAACTTTTTTCACCGTATACAACTTTTTTCACCGTATACAACTTTTTCGGGTACTCTATCTTTATATTCTGTAGTTTTGTTATCATGTGAAACACCACATGTTATATTGTCACAGCCAAGGAATGCATCTGGTTCAATCTTTTGAACACTCAATGGAATGTTGATCTGCTTTAATGATGTGCATCCTTGAAAAGCACTTTGACCAATATTAACAACACTTTTATCTGGAATCAAAATTGCTTCAAGATTCTTGCATCCGAAGAAACAACTTGGTTCAATATTTCGAACTCTATCTGCAACTGCAAAGTATTTGTTCGTTGCTGCTGGTGGATATATGATGATCTTAGATCTATCAATGTTATATATTGCTCCATTATCGCTGCAGTAATTGGAAGAAATAAATGAATTCACATTTGCAAGTTTCACACAACCTTGGAATGCAAATGGCTCAATAGTAACTAATCTCGAACTGGACTGAATATTAATACTAACCAAACTCAAACAATCTTTAAAGCATTGACGAGACAAAACTTCAACATTATCAACAATATTGATACCAGTGATTCCTGTCATTGCAAAACATTCAACATCAAGAATTGTGCAGTTTGATGGAATAGAGATTGATGTTAAACTGCTGCAGTTCTTGAAACAGAATGCAGGAATTATTCCATTGCAAATAGAATCACCTTCAAATGTAACTGATTGTATGCCACAACTCATGAAACACGATTGTCCAATTGATGTGATACTCCTTGAAATAGTTAATGATCTAAGACTTTCGCATAAAAGGAAAGCATAATCTTGAAGTGTTATGTTTCTAGAAGAAGGGAAAGAAACAGATGATAATTGAGAACAGCTTTCAAAAGCATTTAGTGAAATTATTAGAGAATCAGTGGAAGAGAATTCAATCTGAGGAATTTTTGTGTTGCTTAGAAATGCAAATTGACTAATCAATGTCAAATCTTTTGAAAAAGAAATTGCTGAAGAAAGCTGACAACCATCAAAAGCGGCATATCCGATCGATTTTATAGTTGCAAAACTTGGGAATTTTGTTAGATGGGTACATCCTTGAAAAGCATAATTCTCAATTTTTTCGATATGGCAAATACCTTCAACAACAACTTCTTGGAGATAGTCTCTATTAATAAATGCTTTAATTCCAATGGTTTTTAGTTCTGATGGCAAATGAATAACAGTTTCATTGAATCCAAAATATCCAAGAATTGTTGTATTGTCATCACTGAGCATTACATTATCTTCATTGATGTTCAACGTAGCATTATTTGACATTTTAGGAACAAACTTAGGAGAATTCGTAACAAAGCCACTCTTCAGATCAGGCATTGGATAAGGGAAATAAACATTTTCTAAATTAGGACAATATGCCAACGCTCCTGTATTAACATAAGTAACGCTTGGAGGAATAGTTAATGTTGTCAAGCCAGAATCATAAAACATTGCAGTACTTAATCCTGTTAAATTAGTAGATAAAATGCAAGTTTGTAGTTTGGGGCAGATGTTGAAAGTTTGGGATGCGCAATATACTACAGAGTTTGGCATAACAAATGAAGTTAGTTGTGATCTGAAGAAAGCAGCTGTGTTTATAGTTTTTACACCTTCAGAAAGTTCAACAGTTGGAGCTTGGTAACTTACAAAAGCACCATCAAAAATAATTTCAACAGTTGACAAAACACGATAAGGAGTTGTGGAGGCACTGCAAACATAATATAAAATGGTTTTGTTAGCATCATATAGGCCACGTCCATCAGTATATAAATAAATATTTGCATTTTCAATGGAAATTGAATTCATCTTTGCATCTGCATTAAAAGCCAATCCATAAAATGTTGAAACTCTTTTTGGAACTCTAAAGGTCGAAACAGATGTCAGATAGAACACATGCTTATTGATGGTCGTCAAAAGAGAATCACTGTCAATTTCAGCAGTTGTCAGCTTTAGATTGTCCGAAAAAGCAAAGTTATCTAACAAGGAAACTGACTTTGGAATGGTTATCGATGAAATTGAAACTTTTTGGAAGGCAGCATTTCCAATGCTTTTCAGATATGGGGGAAGAGATATTGATGTGACGTTTTTACAACCATAGAAGGCGCTGTTTCCTATTGAAACCAACTTAGTGCATGCGCTGAGATCGATAGAAAGGAGATAGTTACAACCATAGAATGCAAAGTTCTGGATATCCTTTAAATTTGGATCAGATTCGAAGCTGAATCCTAGAAGAGTTGTTCGAGCATCTTTGAATGCATTTAATGTTGGACTGGATCCAGATATCCTTTCGCATTTTGCAGAAATGATAATATAAGGATCTTTTGTACTGACAGCATCAAGGGATTTCCCATCAGATGAGTATTCAGTAGATTGTAGATTTGTTATTTACTCTATTGACATTCCATCAAAAAATGTCACTTTTAGATCTTGGATACCAAATCTTATAGAGCATTTATTGAATGCAACATAGGTGAATGCATGAATAACTGTTATTTTTGTATCCTGTAAAACATGAAACTAAATGAATCATTCTTTGTTTTCTCTATGCATATAATACGTTATCTTATATAAGTTCTTTGAATGGATCAAAGTATCCAAAACTGAATCAGAAGTTAAACATATGCAGAGGCTGTTTCAAGGAAGAGTTATGAAAAATAGATTAAATGTCTCCGCTATCAGATATAAGCTTTGCCTTCATAAATATGCTTTAATGAAAAATACGCAAATAGTTGAGTTTGATGGCAAAATAATGATATTATGTCGTAGGAAAAAGAGAAGCGGGAATTTCAACAATCTGACAAGGGTGATTCTCCTTATTACAAACTTCAACAAACATAATGGTTGCTATTTTTGTAGGTTTTAAATGAGATTTTAGCATGTTTGAAAAAATGTCTTTAAATTGTTTATTTCAAGATACATTTCCGCAAAGATTTCCTATAAAACAAGCACAAGTTAGTCATGCTTGACATGCTTTAGATGTAATTACTTGAAATAAACAAAAATGACATCTCAAATTACCGTTCTACGTCCGAAATCACTGTTTTGATGGAATTTACTAAATATTAACCACACGATATGGCTATGGATGGAAAATTCAAAATCCAATATCTAAATTTATTTGAGATCATATTAAATTATAAAGAAAAGTCAGATTTAAATAATCAAAGAGCATATTTTATATATAAGAATATATTAATATATCATAAAAAATGTTAGTAAGAAGAGAACAACTCGCGAGCAGAAGCTTTGACAAGAGGAAGCGATTGCTGGTTAGAACCATTAATCAGGATATTGATATTACCTCTATCTTGTTGTAAATCGCACAAAAAGTCTCCAACAGTTGTTGAAAAAGTAACACGAGTAATATTATTATTTCTTCCTACCACGAAGATATTTCTCGATGCGAATTCATTGTTCTTAGCAACTGTGCAACCTTCTAATGTCATCTGATCCTTGAACTGTAAGTCCTGGTTCGTTGCATTAATTTTTCCATCTCCCTGAGTTGCGCAAACCAAAGGAAGGCTATCTGTTCCGTAGATTGGACCCATAGAGGTATTCATTGCTATCTGCAATTGTACCTTTGAAGGGTCAATCTTTGTTTGGTCGTATTTGATCGGAACTTTGACTTCAGCAGCGCCGAATTCAAGGGTTTCTGGGAAGTTGGCCTGTCCAGAAATTGTCATTCCGAGGGCGTTTGAGTTAATTAAGAACTGGAATCCCGTAATCGGAGTTCCGACCTTATTAACAACTCTCAGATAGATATTGCTACGGTCGTAGTCCGAGTACAAGTCAAGGAATTGGCATCCTTCAGGTCCGAGTGCTCCATTAACCCAAATTCTTGTTGCATGCCAGTTTCTTGCGGAGTTGTCGTCCTCGCTGTCCGAATCTTCCTCAGGGACGAATCTTACTCTCCTTACGAAGTCAGCTGGGACGATATGTAAAACTCCGGATACAGTTCCCATATTTTTGATGAGTTCTTCGAGGATATCGTCTGAGAACTGTACACCTGAGTGGGAAACAGTGTCCTTTGGGAAGACAACGACATCTTTTGCGATAGATGCTTCTGATGAAAGCAATCTCCAGTAAACTAACGCTCTATTCTTTACATCTGGAACATTTCCGTCCTTTGTAGCCTCTGTGAGAATGAATTGGAGCTGGTCTTTGGTCTGTTCCGGCCTTTCTACGTAAACTTTGACTAATGATGAGAGAATTTGAAGCTGAACGAGAGCTTCTTCATCGTGGAATGTATCAAGGTATGGATCAAGGAGCATATCGACGTTTTCGATGATGTGGCAGTACTCACCGAGAATCCAGATTCCGGCTGCTTTAGCTCGCGGTGCTTTGATGTTCTCTAGACCGTGGCAAACTGTTCCAATGACGCTTTCGAAGACTCCTGGGTACTTTCTGAGGATATCCGTCATGACGATGATGGATTCTTCAAGAGCGTAATCGGCTTTGCCCTGTACGAGTCCTACAAGGATATCCACACAACGACATGCAGCTGCTTCGATCTTAATGGCAATTTGGCCGATGCATTTGATGGATTTCTGAACGAAAGCAACATCAACGGAATTGCTGTACTCTTGGAGCTCGTTGAGAACGAGTTGTGCTGTAGATTGTCTGCAGATAGTTACGATGATATCGAGCTTTTCCATCTTGATATAAGAAGGATCGTTGTATTTGCAGAAGAAAACGCGGATTTCCTTGGAAAGTGCCTTAGGATACTTAAGTACGAATAAAGAGAGTGTTCTTAAGATGACGTATTGTACTTCATATTCGGATGAAGTGACTAATGTAATGAAAGGTGGAATAATTTGTGGTAAGAGCTCGTTGGGATTACGCTTGTCATGATCCATGAATTGGAAGATGCATTTGAAGGCGCCAATGACAACAGCGGGGTTGGAATGTTTCAAGAAAGGAATAAGACGATCAATTAAGAAGGGAGCATCTTCGCTTGAAGCTGGAGCGTATTTGGCTAAGGCATCAAGCAAGATTGTCTGGCAGTTTTCGGAGCAGGAGCTGATAGCAGACAAAATTGGGCCAATTGTATCGGAATCTAAATTGAAGATCGGTGTTGTACGACGTTCATTAATTTCGATGATGGCTGCAGTTGTATTTGAGACAACCATAGGATTATCATCTTTTAATAACTTTAATAAATCATTAAAAAGACCGGCATTTTCAATAGCCTCTGGAACAAAATCGTAAAGTTGGGCAACACTGAAAACAGCTGTTTTTCTAACATATGGGTCAAAATCAGTCAAAGCCTTTTTCAAAGGAGCAATCATGTGCTCAGCAACATTTTCTAGTTTGATTCTTGCCATAGTACGAATTGCGAGTGCACGTACAATAGGATTTGGATCAGAACAGTCTTGAATAAAGGTATTTACAGCCATAATCGCTTGTTCGGGTTCTTGAGTTGAATATTGAACGAGATATAAATATGTAAGACGCTTAAGTTTAATGTCTGGGGTTTTTACGCAGCGAAGCATTGAAGCAAAAAGAGATTGAACATTTTCTCCAGCTCGCATCAAAGCAACGCACTTTTTTGCAGCCTGTTCGCGCTTGTATGGATCGTTTCCATCTAGTTGATCTCTTAAAGTGGCTATTTCTCCCTTGGATTCACCTTGGAAGATATTAGACATTACTGTCAGAAAACTTTACAAAAAATTTTTTCCTCGATTAATAATTTTGGATTATAGATTGGCCATTGATCAAGAAACTTAATTCATGGCTAAATATCGTTCGGAAAATCGTTTTTGATGAATTTGAATTCCCGGATTGAAAGGGCTCATTAAGATTTGATAATAGAATTCAACAATACATTATAAAGAATATCTGTTTCTACTTGGAAAATGAATTTTAAGCCAATTTTAGGAATTCGGATTTCCGAACTATCAGAGTTTTCTAATGAATTTAACAAAAATCAATATTATTAAAGATAGTCTATTAAATTCTGTAGTTTAATAGTACAGTATACATTGTGCGTCGCCTGTAGCCTACAGCTACAGGCACCGACACAATGAAAAAAGTGACAGAAAACTGACACCATACGGGCGCGCATATGTACGCATATATGTGTAAAAATAAACGTTCATATGTAAACTAACCTTTATTCACTAGCAGGAGCTTTGTTGTTCGCTTCCATTAAAATGTAAACTTTACGTGTCAAAAAAATTCTGTCACGTAAACTATTTATGTTGAGATTGAGTACCAGACTCTAATATAAGTTCAACCATTATATTAGAGTCTTTAGGAATTTCATATGGTTCTTTTACATAATATTCCTTTTTTTGACCATCAGTTGATTCTTCAACTCTTTTGAATGAAAAGCGCTTATAAAACTCAAACACGAGTGCATCTTTATAACCAGTGATATCGTAAAATTTTGGTGGCACAAGCTGTTCATTCACATTACATATAAATTGTTTGTTATCATGAGCAATATTACTCAACGTTACTAAAGGCTCAAGGAGAGGATTTATTCTTATCTGATAACCGACAAATTTATATGTTGGTTTGCCCTTTCGCTCAAGGATAAACCTGATATTCGCTATAGTTATGAAAAGCTCATCAAAGTACTTATATGTTTTTTTATCTTTATCATTTTCGTCAGTGAAATCTGCTATGGTAAAACTATAATATACATGCATTCGCGAGATATATTTTTTTTCCCATAAGTCTAAAAATTTTGCTTTCGATGGAATTACTTTTTGCGTGAATGTTCTACCATGGTCATCTTCCCAAACAAGCTCTGGTTTTCTTGATGTTGTGTCTGTTTCAGTGGTTTCTAATAACGCAGTGATGAAATCCAACACATCTCCTAGGGACATGTCATATTTATAATTCAAGGCATTTTTTTCTATACTACTGTATGAAGGTAATGTTATGATTGGTGATGTACCTTTTCTTAATACATTCAATTTATTTTCATTTGAATCATAGTAACAATCAACAAATTCTCTACTTGCCTCAGTCATTTTTTCCATAAGACCTTCATTCAACTCCTGTGTAGTCATGTTGGGTTTTATGTAATATCTCATGTCAAACCTTTTTTTCACTGATTTTGATGAATCTGTCATTTCTAATGGAATAGCAAGAAACTCAAAGTCTGGATGCTCAAGACTTATCTTTCTTATCTCAAGAGCTTTTGACGCAGGATATTCAATGAAGTCTCTCGGTAATTTATATGAGACTGTATTACCACTTATCGTGCCATCATTCATAACATGTTCATAGTATAATCCATCATATTTAGACATTTTATATGTAACTAAAAGATGGAGAAAGTTATTAATCAAGTAGATAAGATTCTTCATGATGGAGCACGTAAGAATAGTAAAGAACTAAACAATGCACTCATTATGCCATTTTCTGATGATTATCCATTTTGTACTAATGGTGTTTATTTCTACTGCGGTAAGATGGGTTCAGGTAAGACATATGGTGTTATTCGTCATATAATGATAACAGACCGCTTCACTAATACTCCATATTATGACTCAATAGTTATCTCAGCAACATCAGGAACAATGGATAAAACAGCGAAGACATTTATGAGTCAAGTTAAAGCACCAGTACTGAAAAAGGATGATAAAGAACTTATGCCTTATTTAATGAAGAACGTTAAGATGAAAGCAAAGTATTACGCTATTGTTGAGTTCGTTCAAAGTAAGTTCGAAAAAATTTCAGAGGAGATGGAACACATCTTAACAAAGCATCAACTAAGGAAACCTGATGGAAAGTTTGAGTATAAGAAGATTGCAATATATGTTGTAAAGAAGTTGAACAAATATCCTTTCACAAAGTATCCCAGTAATTCTCTATTAGTGTTAGACGATTATGGTGGTCATGACTTATTGAATGACCCACGTTCACCATTAGCGAACTTCATCACTAAGGTCAGACATTATAACTATACTGTTGTCATCATGTGTCAAACATGGAGACATATATGTTTAAACATTAAGAGACTATGCACTGACTTCGTTATCTTTCAAGGTTATTCTATGAGAGACTTTCAGTCAATGATTGAACAGTCAGGAGCAACAGAAGATTGGGAAGAGTTATGGAACAAATACAAAGAGCTACCAACACCTCGTTCATATATGGAAGTTCATATAGTTGCAGGAAAGACGGACTTTAAAGAAGTTAAGCAACAAAAGATGACATTATTTTAAGAAGAAATAAATGGGTTTTGGCGATTATGTTAAAGCTGGATGGGGTATGGTGAAAAAAAATCCTGGTCTTGTAATAGGTGCTGGATTTAACATTGCTAACAAACTTTTCCCTCAAGTTGGTCAAGTCGGTGGTGTTATCGGTAGTCTTGGTGAAAGAATTGCAAAAACTACATTAGGTGAAGATAATGCATTAACGAAGAATCTTAAAGCATTCAATAAAGCTCTTGGTGGTGACTTCAGTAGAGACAAGCCTGTTGAAACACCTATAGTTCAACCTCAACAAACTATTGACAACAATAAGTATAACGCATACATTGGAGGAGCTATTTGGAACAATCATAAGCCATTAGTTCAGTCAGTACGTGTACTATCAGACATGCCATGGATTAATGCTATTAGTGGCACTATACGCAGATAATATATTTTTATGAGGTTTAAATGAGTGAACAAGAGAGGAAACTCATTGATGAACGAGTTAAGAAATGGGAGAATGAACGTCCGATAATTCGTACCATAATTAGCGATCAAAAGTTCAAGCAGCATACATTTGATTTTTTGCGCGATATATATAATGATCTTGCTTTTGATTACAATGCTAGGCAATACTTTGAGAAAGAATATGTTCAAAAAGGTCGTATTAATTTCCCAATGAGAAGAGAAGGCTTTTTGATTACATCAACATATACAGCACGTGGTAGAGACCTTTTAAGACGCGGTTCGTAACTTTAAAGCACGTTCTTCTATTAATGATGATCCAGATTTCTACATACCTTATTTTCGTCCACCTTCGCATCCTTTACGAACCAGTGATCCTGGATATGACGCTAAACGAAGATATATAGAGACGAAATTAGCTAAATACAAGGAACCTAAGGATCCAAGGACTGGAGAAGTAAAGGAATCACATGTCAAGATAAATAAGCTTTACAAAGTAGTTGAAGAATTGGGAGAAACGATCTAATGAGATTAACGCTGAGAAGAAAAAGGAAGTACCAAATATGAACAAACTAGATAAGATGATTAAGGAATATAGAGGATTGGCGAATACATCGAGCGTTCTAATAAAGGAAGTAGAAAACACGACAAAGCTGCAGAAAATGATTCATGATGAATTACTGTTAGGTGAATTTTCTATAAAACAAAGACAGAGTAACTTAATGGGTGAGGCTTATTATTTGGAGAATTGGTATAATGAGAGGTTAAAACAAATGTCGACTCCAACACCAACTCCTACACCTACTCCTACAGTAGCTCCAACACCAACTCCCACTCCTGAACCAACAGTAGCTCCAACGCCAACTCCTACAGTAGCTCCAACGCCAACTCTGACACCAACTGCTCACGCAGGTCCTCCACCAATGTCGAGTAGTCATGGTATAACATTAAATAAACCAACACCTACACCAAAAATAACTCCTGTATCACATCCTAGTACAACTAACCCAGTATCTGATTCAAATCAAGCGGAAAGATCACAGGTTCTTAAAAGAGCTAATACACCAACTGCTTCCCCTATTAGAACACCAGAGCCAACTCCAAGAATCACAAAGGCGCCAACACCTTCACCGACTGTTGAACCAACTCCAGAACCAACAGTACCTCCAACTCCATCTCCAACTCCATCACCGACACCTACAAAAGCACCTACTCCATCTCCAACTCCGACTAAAGCTCCGACACCGTCTCCAACACCAACTAAAGCTCCAACACCGTCTCCAACTCCAGCTGAACCAACTGATGCAGAATCTATTCAAAATTGGTTAGACGAAGAAAAGCGAAAAGAAAAGGCTGCAATTGATGCTGCACTAGATAAAAACACACCACCACAGACACTTGGTGGTTACATGTTAAAGAAAGACAACATTCAAAGACAAGAACGTGCATTGAGTGTTGCCAGAGAACAAGCACAAGAAGAGAAGAAAATAGTTGAAGGAGAAGCTTCAAATAGAGGTGGTCCAGGAACTTACAAAGGATCAAACTATCCAGCAGAGAAAGCCTCGAGTGATAATGTTGTCTCAAGAGCTACTGATTTAGTTACCCATGGTATTCTAACTGGTGCAACAGCTGTTGGTAGTGCTATTGGAACCAGTGTTGACACTGTTGTTGATACTGTAAGAACTGTTACAAATCCTACACCTGAAGATAGGAAGGAAGAATTTCTTACTCTTAATACAAAGGCAAAACCAGGGATATGGATTGGTCGTGGAATTTTAAATGCTGGTAGTGCTATTGGCAATGGTGCTTCAGCGGTAGGGGGATGGCTCGGAAGAACAGCAACATCAACCGCAAATGGAATACTAACAGGTGCCAAATCACTTGGTAATTGGGCTGATGATAAGTATACAAAATATTATGAAGAAAAAGCTCGTAAGGCTAAGGAAGAAGCTGAACGAAAGGCGAAAGAAGAAGCTGAACGTAAAGAACTAGAGGAGCTTAAGAAGAAAGAAAAAGCTCGTAAGGCTAAGGAAGAAGCTGAACGAAAGGCGAAAAGAAGCAAGGCTAAGAAGAAGCTGATAGAAAGCGAAAGCAGCAACACCATCGCCAACTCCATCTCCTTCACCATCTCCATCTCCTTCACCATCACCAACTCCATCGCCATCTCCATCTCCTTCACCATCACCAACTCCATCGCCATCTCCATCTCCTTCACCATCAATAGCGGCTCCTGTGAGACAATTTGGTGCATGGGGTGCTGATTTAGTCAAAGATGCTGCACAAGGAATTGGAAAGGAACTGAAGAACACAACATTAGGTACAATAGAGCGTTTTGGTAATCTTACGGATTACACAATTAGATCAGCTGCTAATCTTTTATATAACCAGACTACTGATAACGGTACTGATGAATTGGCTGTAAACGGACTAGCATCAATTAAGAAATCAGTAGAAGATAAATACGATGAATGGAAAAAGAATATTAAGGGTGAATATAATAAGTATGCATATCCTGAAGAACATATGAAGTTAGAGCTTACCAGACTAAGAGCAAAATATGGTAATGAAACAACAAATACTACAACGCAAACGACGAAAGCTGACAGAAAGATTGATGACACTCCTACTCCAACTCCACCTCCAAAGAAAGAAACTCCAACACCAACTCCTGCAATGGCGAACATCACAACAATTGCTCCAAGAGTTCCAACAGGAGAAGGTATATCAGGAAATGTTTCAACTACTCATAACATTACTGAAGCAGCTAATGTTTCAGCAGTTGAGCAACCTGTTGTTAATGTAACTCAGGAAAACGCTACTGAAACATCAACACCAAGACAGGATGTAAATAATGAACGTCCAGAAGTTAAGGAGGTTGCAAAAGCATACCTGGAGAAAAATACTACACAAGTTCTTGAAGCAGAAAAGCATCTCAATTCAGACAAAACACCATCTCCAACTCCTGAAGCATCAGTTCCTCCAGCAATTGGTGGAAATATACCTTCAGTACCACCATGGCAGAAATTTTATGGATTGTTTAAAGGAGCGAATAAGGTAATGGATGCTGCTGAGAATCTCCAAAAGTTCAAGAATGAAGTCGCAACTGGTGCAAAGGAAATAGAAGAGAATGATAAACAAGCTGCTGAATTAGCTAAGCAACAAGCTGCAGAACAAGCTAAACAACAAGCTGAAGCAACTAAACAAGCAGCAGCTCCTAAACAATCTATATCTAAGTCTCAGAGACAAGGTCCTGACCCAAGTGCTAAAGTCAAACAGAATCCAACACCACCTGCAGCAGAGAAGTCCAAGAAGGATAAATCAAAGAAGACAAAGACAAAAAGAAAGATAAGGACAAGAAGAAAGATAAGGATAAGAAAAAATCGTCAAAGATAAAAACATAAAAATTATCCAGTAAGAAATGAGTCAAGTCATTAAGCATCAACTAAACAAAAGTGGTTAACTGAATATATAAAGATGGTAAGGTTCCTGATGGATATTATGTACATACAATGAAAGACGGACGTGTACAGTTCCGTAAAGTCAAGCAACCTCTCAATGATGAACAGATCAGAAGGAAGATCTCATTGTATGAAACAAAAATAAAGGACTTACAAGCTAAACTCGAAACCCACGATACTTCTCAAGAAAACTAGGCATATCTTTAACATGACCTTCATTAATATTTTTCCTCCAATACTGTACTTCCATTTGTGACAACCTGTTTGGATTACCTTCACGCATACCTCTACCTGTCACTTTTCCTGTATTTTCGTTCTCAAACGTAACATCATACTTTACATCATTACCGACAAGTTCATGACCATCAATACTTTTAACAGCACCGTGTCTTCCTTGATCTAAAGTTTCTCCTTGCTTTAATCCATGCTCTATTTTTGTCCATATCTGATAACGTGGATATCTTGCAACACTTCCATCTTTTGCTCTTAACAAGTATGCACTTGTATCAACTGAATCAACTGTATAATAAGAAGGATCAAGATGTCTTCTTTGTTGGTTACCTTTACCCCATGTTCTTGGTTCAACTATGACTTGAACTTTTTGACCAGGTCTTAAGTTATAAAGGTTATTTTTTCTGACATACTCTTCTTTCAATCTTTGCTTCTTTATATATTCCTCATTATCCTTTTCTGTGAAATCATCAGGCTTTTGTTGTGTGCTTGAATGATATTCAGTGTTGTAGTCATTAATAATTTGTCTCATTGTATCTGCAGTGAAAGGTGGTGTTTTATCACCTTCTTTGAGGTTTAACTTCATATGTAACATAGTTCTAATAGTTCTACAGAACCTATTAATAATACCTAGTATGTTATGATTGTATTTCTGTGTCGTCATGTGCTCAATGTTATGACTGACCAACAGATCTCGAACATTTTGTGTCGTATAAGCTGGGTCTTCATCACTAGTAAGTATTGTAGGCTTCATTTCACCTGTAGCTTGTGAAATGAACTTCTGCATTGCACTTAGAACATTGTTTGAGTTCTTTTCACTCATTGGGAACGCATAACCTTTTCTACTGTTTACATTGATGAACAAAAGAAAATATGGTGGTGTTCCACCAGGATTCTCAAATGTATCGAATTGATAAGCTCCCATATCAGTTGAATATATTGGTAGCATCAAATCCTCTTGTATTAAAGTTTTTTCTTGTTTACCAACAGTCATTTTTTTATTAACGTTAAAGTCTTACAGGCATTGAGTAATCGCTATAACCATCATGGTCTGCGAATTCATGTAATCTTGATGCATCAGGTTCTTTCTTCGTTGGTGCATGAAACCTTGCTTCATCATAAAGGTTCATATAATGGTTTGTCACGTTTGGGGTAGACCCAATTTTTGCATATTGAGGATATGAGTAATGATACACTAAGTTGAACCCATTACTACCATCATCAACATATATCTTTGGTGGAGGTTGTCTTATTAAATTCCTTCCTCTTGGGGCTTTGAGTTGGACGATCTGATCTAGATCATTGTAAACAACTCCTGTTGCAGTATATTCTGTGTTGTTCTCTGGGTTAATGTTCGTCATTTATATGAGAATAAAACAATTTTTACTCATAACAAATGAGATCGAAGTCAATTCTTTATGGTGCAGCTAATCTTCCAATTGAACCAACAAGCAATGTTGATTCAAGAACAACTAATAACATTGTGATAAAGAACTATCCATCTGGTACAGTAAGTGATGCTCCAACAGAGATAAAAAAAGAGGAAACAACTACGAACTCAGAAGCACCAATGTATCCTCCTCCTTTAAGTCCATTAACTTCCAACCTGACCTCATCGAGATCTGTGGAGACTTCATCGAGGATTGGTGTAGAAGAGTATTTACTTAGTATATACCAGAAGATACTTCTAGACCAAGACAAAGAGCTCTTTTCTAACTTAGTGAGCAAAGATCAGATCTTACTACCTAAGCCAGACTTGGAAGAAGTTGTTCACAGAATGACTGGGTTCAAGTGTGAAATAGACCTACTGGACCCAGACATCACATGTTGTGGTATTCCACCACCTTTCTCAAAAATAGCTCAGATCAGAATCATTGATGAGAACAATATTGCTCAAGAGTTTAAGTATGCATATAATGCTCAATATACTGAGTTAATAAGTAGGTATAATTTATGTCTTAAGTATGTTATTGTTTAACCAAAAAATTTTTTATCTAATGTTAAATATGGTTGTTCAAACAAGAACAAAAGCACAAATGTTTCAAGACTTACTCAATAAAACTTATTGTTTACTCAAGTAATTATTTTAGAACGTTTCGACGTACTCCTTGATCTTATCAAGAGCTTCGAGCATCCGCTTCTTTGCATTGTCTTGGCGAGGATGGCTTGCTCAATGGTGAGCTCGAAGGCTTCTTTACCGATCGGCGGTGATCGCGAAGATCTTTGAGTGCATCAAGAGCTGCAGTGTACTCTGATGGTAAATGGGAGCCATCTAGTAATGGGTACAAAATGAGCATGTATTCCTGTAGTAAGTTCTCCTGTTTCAAGCGGGACTTGAACTCTTCGCGGAGATCTTGAAGCTTTTGGAGCTTCTCAGTGGCTTGAAGGTAGTCAATGATGACCTTCTCTTGTTCCTCAAGTGCTTGTGGGAGGAAGTGGACATAAGCTGTTGACTTCATCAAAAATGAAGTGGTCATGACACTTTTTAAGTTAATGTCCGAGCCATACAGTGATGTCGAAGCAGCACATGAACCAAAGAAGAAGTCTTGCTGGGAAAAGACAAAGATTGTTGGTAACGCAATCCTAGCCATTTGTGTTGTTTTGAACTTGATCGTACTTCTGATCTTGTTCTACAAACTCAACAGAGGTTATTGTCTCAAGTAAACACTTATTTTTATTACCATATAAATGATTTTTACCAAACCTCCTTTACCTTTCATAGGTAATAAGTCGAAGATCAGGAAAGCTCTTATCGACATACTCAAAGACATCAAAGGGGATTATGTCTTCGTTGACCTCTTTGGTGGTTCTCTCTATATCTCTCATCTGTTGCATATTATGTTCCCAAAAGCAACGATCATAGCTAACGACTATGATAACTACGTTGATAGACTGAAACACATTCATGACACGAATGAAATACTTAAGGAACTTAAGGAGAGAATAAATGTTAAGCCAGATGAGAAAATTCCTACTGATCAGAAAGAGATCGTCAGAGAAGTTATAAGTAAAGCTCCATACATAGACTGGGATACATTATGTTCACGTCTTCTCTATTCTGGAGCATACAAATACTATGATCTTGACACATTAATGAAGAAAGTGTTATACCTCAGATATACTAACTTATTTGGTGAAAACATAGATGACTATCTTGAAGGTTTAACTATTGTTCATAAAGATTGGAGAATACTCTTCAATGAGTATAAAGATCTTCCCAATGTTATCTTTATATGTGATCCTCCATACTTCCATACTTATTCTATACAGTATGGAGATGAATGGACTCTTAAAGATACTGTAGAAACCTTTGATGTCCTTAATTATCCATCTATTTACTTCAGTAGTGATAAATCTTATACAGAAGAACTTTTAGAGATATTGACAAAAAGATATGGAGAGAAGTTTTCTATGAGAAAGCATGTTATAGATAGAGGTTTAATTAATCCTAACACTCAGAAAAATAATGAAGTAATATATGTCACTTTTTCTGTTAATGGAGAAGAGAAAGATCAAGAAGATAATAGTTGATGAGGGAACTGAAGAAGCGACGACATTCATCTTTGACGACGGAAAGCTCACATTCGTTGTCGATAAAAATGGACAACACTTACACAAAAGAAAGAGACCAAGAAAATTTTTAGATCTCCCAAAAGCTAGGAAACCAAAGGAACCATTTCCAGTACCAGCCGTCCAAGAACCAGAGAGACTTTTGATACCAAAACCTGTGGTTGACAAATATGATCCAGATCAGTTCTTCCAAAAATACCAAAGTTAGAATAAAAACTCCTTTATTTCTTTAGTATTATATAATAAGTCTATTAGTAAGCTCTGTTCTCGTTCTGTTCTGGTATTTTGACGTCTTTTCATGGTCTCGCATAATAAGATCATGAACTTTTTCTTGAGATACTCGAAGAGCTGAGGTAAGTTATCATATTCTGGATATGTAGGAAGCATCCCTGCTATCGTAAGTGTTGTATCAATAAGGATTGGACTTATATCGGAAAAGTCGAGATCTGGAGTAGAATAAGAAGGTAAGTCTCTTACATGTAGGTAGTCATTATATGCTTTACGCATGAGACTGAGTTTCTGGAGCACAACTATGAGACTTTGGTTCTGACGTTCAAGTTTGCTTAAAGTTCTCTCCAAGCTTCTGTAATAAACGTCAACCTCTGTAAGAGCAGATATTTTTGCATTGATCTCGGAGATCTTTTCTTGAACTTCACCAAGTTTGACCTTAACTGACGTTTGAGCTCCCATCATGTTTTCATCAAGGTCATTCTCTATGTCATCAATGATATCTTCCCATGAAGTCATGTTTTCATCATTGATCTTAACGTGAACACTCATGAAAAAAATGTCATGTAAAGTATAAATGTCAGATTTTTACTCTTGAGCTTCTTCTCTCTGGATTGACTCGTCTGTAGGGCTTAATGTGCCATCACGTTCGACCAGAAGGTTCTGCTCAGGTCTGTCAAGGAGCTGTCTGTAGGTCGTGAAGGTTTCAACGAGTCCTTGGTAAGGAGTTTGGAGATCAACATCGACCCATGGGTGTTTGCGTAAGAAAGCAGCAAGGCTTTCACGCTTGGAGTCAATGACATCTTTCTTATTGGTTAATCCTTCTTCAAAGCTTAGGATTACTCCTGCAGTTGATTCAAGTCTTTGGATCTGGCGTCTGGAAACCTTGGTGAGTTGTCTTATCCTCTCGTTTCCAAATACATGCAGGAGATATGCAGAAATTACTTCATTAAGTTCGATTAAACAAATTGGATGAAGATCAGTCATGGCTTTTGTAAAGCAATCTTTTGTAAAGCTGTCTTTTGTAAAGCAGACTTTTGTAAAGCAATCTTTTGTAAAGCAATCTTTTGTAAAGCAGACTTTTGTAAAGCAATCTTTTGTCAAGACGTCTTTTGTAAAGCAGACTTTTGTAAAGCAATCTTTTGTCAAGACGTCTTTTGTAAAGCAAAAGTATTCAATTTTGTGAGAAAATGCTTTTGTAAAGCAGTCTTTTGTAAAGCTGTCTTTTGTCAAGACGTCTTTTGTAAAGCTGTCTTTTGTAAAGCTGTCTTTTGTAAAGCTGTCTTTTGTAAAGCTGTCTTTTGTAAAGCTGTCTTTTGTAAAGCTGTCTTTTGTAAAGCAGTCTTTTGTAAAGACATAACCGACGACCGAATGTCCCAAGATGGTACAACACCAGCTCCAGCATCACCAACACTAGATATGATGGCAATGATGATGCAGATGATGCAACAGCAAACCCAGCTTATACAGCAAATGCAGGAAAAGAAAACTTTCAATAAACCTGCAAAGAACTCACAAGATCTTGAAGCTGGACTCAATGCTCTCAGGAACGACTACAAGAGAGAGCAGATGACGTTTAGGAAGAAGGGTGATGAAGATTATGAGAATGATCCGATCGAGGAAGACGAGATCAAGTCCACTGCATCCACAAAGACCCTCCAGGATGAAAGAGATGATGAGGGATTCCTTACCAAGTCTCAAAGACTCTTTGTCCTTGAGTTCTTCACGATCTCTGCCTTGAGATCTATGAGGAATTGGAAGGGTCGCGTTCCAAGTGGCTCAAACAAGCGCGAACTACTCATGACCGCAGTACCGCTCACTAAGACAAAAGTCCAGCTCATGGACTTTATCCTTTCCGCTTGTCCCGACGAGATCTAAGATCTGATCAGAGTAAAAACTTACATTTATGAGCTAAGCTCAGTAATAATTAGTTGTTTATTCTTTCTTCTCATACTTCTGTGCAAGGTTTCCACGGAAGAACTCAAGCAACATTTGGATCTTTCCAAGCTTTCGACCTTCTTTTTCGAGGTCATCCTGGTAAGTTCGGAATGCGTCAACGTGTGAGCTCGCATAGAATGCAGCAACAACAACCTCTTCTGCACCTTCTTTGCTGTCAAGTGGCATGAACTCGAATCCTTCCATTCGACCAAATAAAAGTGACAAAAATGTCAATGAGACCCACTCGTTGCATAGATGCTAAACCTGGTCCGAAGATGCAAAAGTTCTTCAGAACACTCATGTCTGACCAGAGGGAGTACGGTCATGAAGAGGTCATACAGATCTTCGATCAGTGTGTACCAAAGCCTGAGAATCCAGACGAACTCTTCATGTAAATTTACTTGCTTCAATGGAGAGATGAGAGAACAGATATGAAACTCAGACCAATACCAATCTTTCTAGGTTTCTGCAATTACCTAGAACAAGCATGCCAGATCAAATGGTCTGACACCATCTTCCTCCAAAAATAAACTTTATCGTTTATAACACTTCAGGATCTACATCTATTTCTTCTGCTTCATCCTCAATGTCGATCTCTTCGACAGGTTTGATAGCAGCTTTGAGTAAGTTCTTACCCATTGTCTTAAGTTCAACTGGGTTATATTCTTTGTCTTTACTCTTTGTTGATTTCGTGAGATCTACATATAAACAATAACTTTTAGTCTTGTCAAGGTTTATTCTCGCTGAGAAATGGTCAGGAATGTTTATAGCTATCTTTTCAAACTTGAGTAAATTAGCTAAACCTTCATTTGTGTATTTCTGCTTATCGACAAAGATCATGATCGGACTTGCACTATAACCATACTTTCCTTGACATAATGTTTGTGGTAAGCATATAAGTAGTCTCTTTGCTGTTTTATTTTGCTTCTTCACTTCATCTACAAACTGTTGGATCTTAAAGAACTTTATATGATGTTCAGACATCTTTATATACCCGATAAAAAGTTCAGATAAAAAAATAATTAGCTATATTTTTATTAGTGCATAAATGAGTCTTTCTTTGAGATTTTCTGATGAAGATCTAACTTTGGTAAGATCTTTAAAAGATGATGAAAACATTCTTTCTGTCATTGATGAAGAAAAGAAATACTTCAGTAATGATGTAAAAATAGAGCTACTCATTCATACTGAGAAACAGTTTGTGATCGTGATCTTGAGTTAAGCAGCTCTGAACCAAGCGAATACAGTCATAAATGGTGGTAAGAAGTCTTTTCCATTACCTGCTGGGTCTGTAATGCCAGCTACAACATGTGTATGATTTCCTGCAGTTCCACAGAAAATACCTGTGCTTGAATCTACTGGGTCACTTGAAATATCATATCTATGCATTCCCTGTCTATCCGAACCTGCTGCAAGATTTGTATAACCTCTTTTTGTCATTGAATGTGAATGGTTTCCATTAGTAGATGTTGTTGCACTGAACCTATGGGAGTGTGGTGGAAGGTTTTCAACTCTGATAGTCTTTGAACCACCAAAGTCCATTGATGAGTTAGAACAGTAAAGAAACTGATCAACAATCGGTTGCCAAACACCTCCATAAAGGGTTTGCGGGCTTGTTGAGCTCATTGATGTAAATATAGAACCAATTGGATACATCATGTCAAACATGTTAGAAGGTCTATAAGTATAATCTACTGTGGTGACATCGTTCAAATAAAACTCAAACGTATCTCCAGGATGAATAGTTAAGTTTGTTCCATCTTTTTTGTGGAACACAAGTTCAATAGATTTACCATGACTCAATGTATAGTAACTTGGACCTTTTTCTGATGGACCAATGTTATAATTTATAAATATTGCAACTTTACCCATATCATTATTACCAAAGCTAACTGTAATGCTTTCAGGTATTCCATTGTTTACAGATGCATTAGAGATCTTTGAGATCTGTTCATTAACATAAGTTTTGTCTGCTTTGTTGTCTAACAGAACTGGTAACTCATGTGCTTTAAAGTTGTTATAACTCATAGACATATTATATGCAGTACCATTCAAATTTTGCAAGGTCTCTGTTAAACTCATATGAGGATCTTCTTGTGGAGCACTTGAGCCTAAAGTATAGTTCAAGATAATGTCATCAGCTCTTATTTTCTTGATTTGAACTGGTTGGTCATTATCAGCTCCTATTTTATTGATTATAACAGGTTTGTCTTCTCTTGAACGAATTGATTTAACTGTCAAAGGTTCAGTGAACTCATTATTTTTCAAAGGAATCAATGTTGTATTGATGTTTTCACCATTAATATATACTTCTTTTGCATCAATACCAGATGGGAATGAAACTCTTTCATTAACTTTAACTGTTGTACCATCACCTGGGTACATATCTTTCTCTGGACCTTTGATTGTCTTAAGTATGACAGACTGTGATAAAGTATATTCTTTAGATGCAACTTTACGTATCTCTTCGTCAACATAACTTTTGTCAGCTTTGTCTGCAATCTTAAGTGCAGTTCTTCCTCCATTATTTTTGTTCTCCTCAACTTTCTTCGCTAATTCAGCAAGAATGAGATAAAGATAATCAGTAAGGTCATCAGTACCAGACATAGTAATATTATTGTTCTTTCTTGATGTATTAGCAACTTTCACTAAGGTCACAAAATCAGGGTACAAAGTACTTAACGTAGAAATGATTGTTTTTGGTCCAGGATCTTTCTCTTCTTTATCATTAGCATCACGTGCCATTAGAATTGGTTCCAAAGGTCCAGTCACATCAAAACTCTCAAGTTCCATATAACCTTCATTTCTGAATCTTTCTATATGAGTTATCTTCTGGAAACTTGTTTTAGTCTTTTCAACTAAATTTTTTATTCCATCCACAAAACCTCCTTTATGATTTGGACCAAGATTACCCAGAGTGTCAAGAACAGTATCTATACCTTCTTGACTTTCAACAAAAGCCCAAAGAGCATTTATTTGACTCTGGAGTGATATCCATGAGGCTGCAGTAGCTCCAGCGTTTGCTATGGCAAAGATGAATGATAAAGGGTTGAACTTAAGACCAGATTCTTTATCTTTGACAATTTCAACGAAGTCATTGATATTTTTCTTCAAGTATTCCTTAGTCAGAAGAACTCCATCGCCAGCTATACCAGTTGCTTTTGTCTTTCCTTTAACATCAAATGTGATTGGTTTCTTCAATAAAATAACTTCTGGTGTTGTACTGATGCTATCATTAGTGGAGAAAAATTCTCCGACATGACTTGCTAAGTATTCTTTCGTCAATAATGTTCCATCACCAACAATACCAGTTGCTTTTGGACCATCTTCTGTGAATGTCAATGGTTTCTTTAACATAACTTTATCTAAGTATATTGCAATACCACTATTTTGTACTTGTTCATGACCTAATATATAAGCAAATGCTGCGTTTAAAGCATTATACAATGTATCTTCTTTAAATGTTAATTGACTGTTTTCAATCATTGGTATATTGAACAGTGTAGACCTTGGGTCAAAATGAACTCCATGGTCAATCGATAATAACCGTTTAACATGATATATTATAGTCTCTAATGCTTCATTAATATTTACCTCACGAGTTTCTTGCAAACCATTACTCGCCATACATGAAAACATATAATCTCTATCAGTTGTGAAGAATGGAGCATCTAAGTAATTATTCTCTACTTTTGTCACACGATTCTGTAACGCTTGAAGGTATTGATTTAAGTCTGTTTCAACAATTGTACCATCTGGTTGCTCGATAGGTAATATACCAGGACCGATGGTAATGTCTTCATCAGCACCTTCTTTATGTATGACTAAAGCATTATCAGTAATTCTGAGAGTTATTCTTTATATTGAAGTACGCTAGACTTATAACATTCATATGCATATGGAACAACACTCATTCTTTTACTACATATAAAAATGATGTATTATCTACAATCGACTGATCCTAATAACTACGGGACAATACAGTTTCAAGCAGATCCTAACATGGGGCATCCAAGTAAGATAAAGATGAGAGTAAAAAGTGTCAGTACTATGGCGAACTTTATTGTTTGTGACGAAACAGATTATTTTGTCTTACAGTTAGACGAAGATGGAGAAGAAAAGGTGTGTACATTTAAGTCAGCTCTTTCATTTGATATGGATACTATTGTATCAAAACTACAAGAGATTGTAACAAAACAGTTTGATTATTATAACAAGAAAAAAGGTCAACATAATGTAACAGTTTCACTGAGTGCTACGAATCAACTTATATTTACGTCACAGGACAAAGGACATAAAGTCTAGGAGAGAGATTTTCATATAGATTATATATCTGAAGGGAAACGAAAAATGTGGAAGAAATTGAGCTAATACAAGTTGACCTTCATCTTCTCTACAGACGATCGTGCGTTAAAAAATATAGGAATAAAATAAATTCATGTTATGCAAATATGCTGATGAATATGCAAATACGAGAGCACACTTTATGTGAGAATTTATATGAAAACAAAATTCACGAATGTCGTATTTCAAGATCTACGAAG